CCTGGGGGTCTGATTCTGCCTGTGTTGCTCTCTCAGGAAGGTTTCCGACTCCTCAGGTGGTCTAGTTGGATTCAATGGCTGTGTCTTTGAAGAGCAGATGCAGAAATTGCCTGGAGCACACCGTGCCCCAGGCCCCCATCCTCATTATCATCTTTACGCTTTTCAGAGGCCTGAATCTGGCTGTGCCTTTCCTTACTGCATAGTCACATCTCTGGGTTTAAGTCTGGGACATCCTTAAAGAGCATTACCCATCTTCTCATTGGGAAATAACCCCTCTTCCCTGGCAGACCTGCATTTCTGAGTCCTGCTCTTCCAATATCATAATCTTCTGGAGCATGGAATGAGTCGTTAGTCTCTCAGCAGAGGCAGGTCCAGCCCTTAGGTTGAACATAACAAATTAATCTTTTAAATTTTCTCATTGATTGGGTTTTGTTTTATATACACACAAAGCTTAGAGTCACTTACAACATTTTTATGACATGGCAGAAAAAATCTCTGTGAGGAATTAAACACAATATCACTGCCTTGGCTCTTCGCATCCTTGAGCTGTACAACACTGAAGGTAGTATCACCATGTGCTTTCCTTTTTTTTCTTTTTCTTCCTTCTACCTCGGACATTGGCTCTTTCTGAGCTATTCAAACTTTCCCTCCAGCCTCGCTTTCTTGAAACAGAATGATGACGCTTTACGATCTGAAAATTCTTGATATCTTACAAGCAAAATACAGTGTGATGTGTTATTATGAAGGTGGGAAAGTTACTGTGTCAGAAAATAAATACCTACAATGACAGAATAACTCCTCCAAGGAACCTGGCCTATTGCATTGGATTTTCTCAAAATTTCTGTGAAAGTGCTTGTGGGATATGGTCAATGGGAAGGATTCCTCATCTGGGAGAACAGATGCTCCAAAGGAATCTGCCTGTGGAGCCTGCTCAGCCAACATGCCCCCATCAGGTCTGTGCCTGCTTGCCCTGGGGCTTACCAGCTCTGAGCCCTTGGGCAGAAGGGAGATTTGGAGCTGTTTATCCCACTTGACCCTCCATACAGATGACCTTCCATCATCTGGGGCCAGCTGATGCTAAGCAGTAAATTAAATTCGGTGGCATGCTGTCTCAGTTCTCAATGGCGTTTCAGAGCGAGTGTCGGAGCCCATAGAGCAGGGCTCATTACACGCTGCTGCAGCAGCTGGAGCTGGAGGGGGTGTCAAGCTCATTACCTTTTATAATATGCCCACCGATGGAGCTAGGTGTGCTCTAGATGGATTTGTCAGAGGCCAGCACTTTTGTCTGAGGGTGAAGCATTGCGTTAATCTGACAGGCAAGACTCCACATTATGCAAAAAGAAGAATTCAACAGGAAACAGATGCGTGTGGATAAAAATTAATCAATGTTTTTGAGACCTGCACCTCTGAATGCAGCATCTGTAACAGTAGAAAGAATATATTCTCTCCTTCCTCATATCTTTTCCTCAGCAAACCAAACCTTAGGGTAAACAGTTTCCAAAGTTTGACTCCACTTCTGTGAAATCCTTATGTGTTAGTGAAGTTTTTAGCAATAATTTTGTTGATTTTCTTGGTCAGCTTTGTGTACATCATTGTGAAGCCAAACAATTCAGAAATTATTTTGCTCCTGAATTTTTGAAGTAATGCACCAAAATCTTTATTTTACTGCCCTTCTTACTATTCTAGCATACACTTCCATTCCAAGCTCACTTTCCAATGCTGTTTTGTTTGGAATGCATTGCAACACGTTTCAGTAGTCAATGTGTGTTCACCTAATTTGTTGTACCCCAGAAAAAAATGTGATATGCTTATAAGGAAGAGAAAATGGCAAAATCAGAGAAGAAAACCAGTGGCGCCCAGACTCCCTGGATGGATAAGGCATATCTTGAATCCATTCATTAAAATCTAGATCTCTGGGGAAAAAGAACCTCAGATGTATAACAATGAAGTCATAAGAACAGGGCCTGCAGGGAGTCCCTTGCTGGCTACAGTCTGTACAGCACAGCAGTGGAGAGTTGAACTGGAAAATTTGAGTAAAGCGCATTTGCCATTGCAGACTGTCTTCCTGGGAGCTTTGTTTCTTAAGATTTTTAAGTATAACAATCTCTTTCTGAAATTCTGAGCTCATTAGTACTTATTGAGTATGGCCACCAGGTTACTGATGGTGTACAATGTCTCTGCTAGAGGAGTAAGAAAAGTTTACAGAGGTAGGAGAGGTGATCTTAAGGGAATGCACTGACATTGTACACCATGTCCTTCCAGTGCCCCCTGATTCACATTTCTCACATCCCTGTTAGAAGAATTAGGCTGCTGTATCATAGGTGGGAACCTTACACATGCCCAGCACTGGGGCAGACAATTTTAATTTCCTGTTTTCTCAGAAAGGGAGATGGCAAGGATATCTGTGAGTGGTCTCAATTGCAGCAGCAGCAGCTAGTAAGCATGTATTTTAACAGCGGTGTTAATAAGGCACATGCTCCTGGTTGTGTCTCACAGAAGTAGTTGCTCAGTCCCTGCTTCTTTTCATGCTGTGGTGTCATCTGGCACAGCTAGATCCTTGTTTGGGTTATTTAATTGCTTCTTTGCCTGCCTTATGCAAACTCCATTAGTAGCTGGGCTTTTGGGCACTCGGACCCATGACTGCACTGCATTTAGTAAGCACTCTGCCCTGTCTGTAGGCAGTATTTCACACAGTCACCCAGTAACTTTATTCAGTTTGCTGGTCCCCAGTGTTATTGTCACTCTGCATCATTTACCAATACAATTTTCACAAACAAAATTAGTCATTGCAATGTAGGTGTATGGAAGCTGTCCCACTCTGGAAGGATTCATTAAAATTCCCATAATAGTCTCCTTGTCAGGACTCTTGCCTGCTGTCTGGGAAGTATTTCAACAAGTCTGTCCTACTGTTGTGTTAATTAAACATTGTTCTATTTATAAATGCTCCATTGGCCAGTAGCAGTTCCCCACACAGAGAGAGAGGAGTAGTGGTAACTAAAAGTGAAGTGCCAAGAAGATGGGGACTGGCCATGCAGAGAAGCCAAGGGACAACCAAAACTGAGCAAAGTGCCCCTCTTGGATCTGTCACTGTCTTCCTGGGGCTGTAGTGGTCTTCTGACATTTAACTTGGAGCAAGGGAGGAGGGAAGGAGGTTTGCTCACTGCTTTCTTCAGCAGCTATTTTATTGCTGTTTGTACACTGTAATCTCTTCACAGTGACTGCCACAGGGTCTTGGAGAAGGTGAAAATATATCTGAAAACACATCTGCCTTTAGATAGAGACCAAGTAGCTGAAGTTAGGATAAAGCCATTATCCTCCTGTGTTTGTTGCACACTCCTGACAACCTTCTCTACAAGCATCTCTACCTGCACACACACATCTCTTCTGACACATGCATGAACACAAGAAGAGGGACCTGTGGGTGCTGCTGGCTGCTATGGAATAGTCTCCTAGGGCTGGGTGCCAGGAGGATCTGACACCCACTGCCTGGTTATCAGGAGGATCTGCTCAGCACTGCTCTTCCTATATGCTCCCATTTTACTCATCAGAACCCTGCTCTGTGCTGTACACAGCACTGCTGCTCAGTAGGGCCTCCTCTCCCTGTCATGATTTCTGCCACAGCATCTTGCACTGCATCCTCTGACACTGTCCATGCCATCCTCCTTTCTGCACATGTAGAGACAATTGCCAGCATTTTTTACCCAGCATTATTTTCTACAGGCTTGTGGACTCAGAAGCAGGAGGAATTGGCCACCGTCTTCACCAGACAGTCCCTAAGGGGCAGAACCCAAACCTTTGGTGAAGACCAGGGCAATTTGGGATTCAGGTAGGTAGTACCTGCTAGCAGATTCTTCTGAAGGCTTCATCAGTGCTTTCTTCTTGGTTTGCTGGTCTGCTTCCAACACACACTTGTTCTCACTATGCTAGGGAGAGATGTGAGAATGTCTGCCTGAAGATGTTTGCAAGTGAATGAGTAGTTCCTCTGGAAGTTGGTTCAGGCATAACTCTTAATCTGGTGCAGCCCCAGATATGAGAAGTAAGGCCAAAGAGGTAGAAGAGAAGGAAGAAAAAATTGAGGCCTGAAAATACAAAGTGCTGCCAGGCCCATCCATGGACATAGATCTTTCTAGGACCTTAAATGGCTACTGAATTCCAACTTCAAATCATCAAGCATGCAGAATCTGTGAGAACAACATGAATGTCTGGAGTTCATCTGAGCAACAGCAGTCATGAATAGATGGAAATATGAAAGCTGCGCCTCTTTTTTTGTTTGTTTTATTTGACAGTACCTCTTGTTTGACAGGATAGGCACTGTAAGTGCCCTTGCTAATTCAGGGCTCGTAACTAGGCAGACCCACATGATGTGCATTAGAGCAACCTAAAATGAGGTTTGCTATGAAATGTAAGACAAGATGAAGCAAAATGTGTCCCACTGCCTGTTTTTTCAGACATATTGTACAACATACAGATGGTTACTCTGAATGTAGCCTGTATAGCATGGAGGAATATATGCACATGTATATATGTGCAAGTAAAAGAAACTGCGAGTAAAATCTTGGGTCTTTAAAGAACACCCTTCATCTGAAAGTCTCAAAGGGCTGGTTATTAGTGGGCAAAGTGACCCTTTGCTGGTAAACCAGAAGTCTGATACTATTCTGCTTATTCTCCTAAAGCTACTGCTATCCCACAGAGACACAGTAGTGGGTGTAGACAAAACTGTGGGTTTTGTGACAGCTGGTTCTGCCATCATTTTCTGCTGTATCCCCTGAGGTGCAAAAGCAAAGATCTCCAGTACAGAGAGACACTGCCATTGGTGGGCTGGCTTCCTGCCCTGCTCAGGGAAACCTCCATCGCCCGCTTGCAGGACCTTGGCAAAGCAGGGTGGGAAGCCTCTCTGTGCTGCTGTCCACGCTGTGTTTGTCCTGGATGTGATGCAGGACTTTGCTTTCCTGCACTGTCAGTCAGGTGCCTTTCAGGAGCACTATATTCACATCTACAAGTGCACACATGAATTATTGTTTATTCAATAACAAATCAAACAAATTCTCTTCTATTCAGACCACAATGATAAAAGGGAGTTGATTTCCACGATTATGAACACCGATTGATGTCTTCCCTTCTCTTGACTGTCTTTATTTCACATACAGGTGGCTTTTCTTTTTAATTTTTTTTTTCTTTTTCCCTTGGAAATGTCATCACCAGTTAATTAGCAATGTGTTGTTACCTGAAAGTAAGAACAAACTTATCTTAGACCATATGGCAGGGTTTTAATCTGCACTGTCATGGTATAATCATGTCGAAATGGCTTCCCTTTTCAGTCAAAACTGCATTTCACACTTTACTAATATGGGGCTTTTCCTTTCCTCTTCCAGAGTAATATAGCCCTGACAGTCCAGCAAGTGCAAATTAAAATAGCTCCAAGCTGTGGCCAGCAGCAGGAGGGGAGAGTGAGCAAGAGAGTGGTGTGACTGGTGGGGAGGGAGGAGGACCCCATCCCAAAACTGGAATCTGTGTTCTTTCGGTGATCTGCTTCTGCAAAATTGAACCAAATCAGTTTCGGCTCCATTTAGGAAGACAATTCCCCTCCCTTATAGCAAAGGCCTGGACTATGCCACTGGAGCTGGTTATAGGGGGTCTTTGTGAAGTTTATCTTCCCATGCTATTGGGAATATACAGAAGCAGAAACCAAGAAAGATACGTGTTTGTGCAAAGCAGCAGTGACCAGCAGAAAAATGTGCAATTGACTGCTGTAGCTGTTTACAGGGTGTAGGGTCTAGGAGAAGGTTGAAATACATGGTTTGTTAGGTAACATTTTCAAAGGAGTTTTACTGCTAAGCGACTTAGGGGGTAACATATTGTACAACATACAGATGGTTACTCTGATGTTTTAGGATAAATAACTATCCTTTTCCAGGTGTTAGGTAAGGACCAAAAAACTGGATTGAATCCTGTTTGCAGTGGGATGGAAGGAAACGTGTTATCTGTCCCCTAGAAAAATAAGTCAGACTATTAGTATGCATTGGCTCTTCCCACAGCACCTTGTACAAAGCAGAGTCTCGATCAGAGACCTCCTCTCTCCTGCCAGGTTTCTTGTGTTCTCCCAGTGCTGCATATCCCCAGGCACCTGTGAGTAACTACTTATGGTCTCTGTTTAGCACTTGTGGATCTCAGGCTAAAATGGATCGAGTCAGGGCAAAGTCATGGCCAGCAATCAATCTAGATAGCTTCAGTCCATGGTCAATGCCCTTACTTTCCCATGCCTGCATTTTAAACTATGTTACCCCTCTGTAATTAGGATAGTAAGTACCAGGTAGCCAGATAGAGGGAGAAAAAGTATCTCTTGAATCTTCTCCCCTCTCCTACCATTGCTTGTGTTTCTCTATGACAGCAATGTCAGAGCCAATGAGGGTCCCAGTGCCCTGTGAGGCTTTTCTCTTTCATGTACATCCTTCAAGGGACATATCTGGCTCCAAGGCCACAGGAGATCCCAGCCTTCTGTGAAGAGCAGCAGCAAGTACCATTTGCCTGGATGTACTGTGCTGCTCCAGGGTGTGTATGGGATGGAGGGCTGAGTTAGAGTTTTCTCCCCACAGGATGTATAGGAATCACACAGCTCTCTAACCATGGGCGGTCTGATATCTTTCACATGCTGTCTGAACTGTGTTGCTGTATCCCTTTACAGATATAACCCCTGGAACACCTCAGATTGGATGGTTGGAGGTACTCCTTCCCTTCAGTCACTTTGTATTTTGCTGGAATTTCATTTTTTTCAACCCCCATATGAATACTACAATGCACAGAAGTAATCTCCCCTACTCTTTCCCACCCAGCAGAAGACTGAATATAGAAGCTGCTCAGTGCTGGTCTGCTTCTTATCTGTTATCAACATATACATGTATTTGCAATGAGACAACAAAGGCAACAAGGGCAAAAGAAAAAAAAAAAAAAGAGTTTAAGTAGTGGTCTGAGGTTCTGCTCACAGTAAGAGATGAACCAGAGCTGTCTTGTTATTTAAATGTCTGGTAAAACTGTGCTTTGGCCAGGAAAATCAAAGTCTAGATGTTCACTGACAGAAATCAACATCAGTGCAGGGGAAGCTTTAAATATTTTAGTGTCCTTTTCAGTAGGTATTTAACTAGGGAAAAGGACTCAAGCATATGGGTAGTTTATCTGGCTAGTTAAAAGTGTACATTTGAAACACATTTTCCTAAAAAATTCTAAAGAGTAAGATATTTCTGGTGCTATACATAAGCATAGTTTCTCTGACATGATGTCCTTCAGCCCAGCTGCAGGTTGGCTACCGTGGACATCTGCATGTACATGAAAACTTAGACATGGGACTGGAAGAAGAAGAAAGCAGCAAACAGTAACAGATCTGACGGGCTGCTGTTTCACCAGGTACCTCGTGTGCTTTGCAGGGCTGGTGCAGGAAAGGTTGAAGGTGTAAAGGGATGGTGTGAGTGTATGCATGTTTGTGTGTGTGTGTGTGTGTGTGTGTGTGCGCATGTGTGCAATGGTCCTAAGAACGATTATAATTCTGGAGCATGAAACAGAAGGATGAATATCAAGCGAGAACATCCAGCTGCAAGTCCTTTCCCCCTCTTTTTCCAGCTTTTGGATGAACTGCAAAGCCAAGGGGGACTGTTAACTGCCTGGGCCTGTCCATTTGTCTCTCTCTCTTTACTTCTCTGTCCCTAGCTCCCCCTCCCTCTCCCTCCTGCAGCTCTGGAGGGTGGAGGTGCGATTCGATATGCCCGTTTTTTATTTCCAGCACGCTTGACAGGCTGGGCGAGGAAGGCGTTAATGTTTTCTGACAGGCCCCCTCTAATTGTTGGAGCTTTTCTTCTCTGCCTTTTCTGTGAAATTCTGACTTAGGCGAGCAGCATAACAAAATGCTCTGGCATTGAAATGTGCGCTTGCACTACACTGGGCTCGGGGAAACAGCATTATTCATGAAGATTTTCAGCTGTTTTTGTCTTTTAACTAACCTTTGAGTTTGATCAGAGGCTAGCCGGGCTCCCTTTCTCAAAAGGCGGTCTTGGCAACCCGACAATGGAGCCAAACTGTTTTCCCTGTTAAAGAGATAACTATGCCGTTGAGTTGGTACATGGGGGAAATTAATCTTCAGGCGCATACAAATGATAGCTTTACCTCGGTCTGCAATCGCCTGCATGGGATTATTGATAGGACGGGGGTAAGGAGCAGGAGAAATTCAGACTGGGGCAGGGAACTTAAAAAAAAAAAAAAAATTTGCAACCCCAAGCCCATCATCCCTTTTGATTGTATAAAGCCTGCGATTGATTCTTCACCACTTGCCTTTTGCAGCAGGAATTAGCCCCGCATTGTGAGGCCTGACACGCTAAGAGCTCGCTCGCTTGGGAGCTGAAGTTGCTGCGCGCTGGGACGAACCGGGGGGAGGCACCGGGGGGGCGCTTCTCCCCTCTCCCCTTTCCAAGAGGCGAGGAGCAGGGAGACGCAGACTCGCCCTACACTTCAAGTCGAGCTAATCCCTGAATGCACTGAGTAATACGCGCTGCATTATGGAGCGGCAAGCCAGGGCGTCCCGTGTGTGCCCCCCCCGCTCCCCGCCCGGCCGCGCCCGCCTCTCCTTGGGCAGGCGCCCGCTCCCCTCGCGTGCTGCCGGGCCCGGCCGCCGCTCGGCCCGGGCAGCGCGGAGCGGAGCGGCGCGGGGCGGGCGCGGCGCGGCGCGGGCGGGCGGCAGCTGCGGCGGGCGCCACGCCGCCCCGAGCCCGGCGGGCCCCCGCCGCGCCGCCGCCGCCGGGATAAAGGCTGAGGCACGACACGCGCGGGGACAGCGCTGCCCGCTGCCTGCCCGGCCCCCGCCGCACCCCCCGCCTGCCCCTCTGCGAGCCCGCACACAAAAGGCAGGACCTGAGCCGCGGGGAGGGGCAGGAAAGAAAATAGGAAGAAGGAGGGGGAACAAACAAACAAAAAATAAAAAAAAGGAAAAAGAGAGGGAAAAAAAAAAAAAAGATTTTGAGAACAGGGAATGAACCCCCGGGCTCCCCAAAAGCCAGTGCTAGCGGGGCTGGGTGCGGGTCGGTGCCTCTCTGAGGGGAAGGTGAGAGGAGGGCTGGGCGCAAGAGGAGGCTCAAAGGGCTGCCCACAGCCCTTCCCGGGGACAGGGCCTGGGGGGCTTCCCCCTCCATTTTTACCTGTGCGGAAGGAGTGGAGGGCGCGGAGGCTCCGCGGGGCCGGCGCTGCTCCCGCGTGCGGAGAAAAGTTCGTGCATAAAATAGCATCACAGGGCGGGGGGGGGGGGGGGGAGGCTGTGGGGAGGGGGCAGCGGCGGAGCAGGAATGGGGAGTGAGGGTAAACCCCACGCCGCGGGGAGGCTCCCCCCGGCCCCGCGGGCGCGGATCCCGCGGGCCGTGGTGTGGGGAGGCGGGGGCAGCGCTGCCCACCGCCGCTGCCCTCGCCGGGCTACCCCGCTGCCCGAGGGTCTTGGCTTGGGGGAGGGCACTCACTCTGGGAGAGACATTTTTTGACGGGACACTTTTCGTGCATTACAATAAATAAACACACAGGTAGATAAATTAATAAATCCGTGGCCAAACAACCTTCATTGCGCTCATGTCCCCTCTCCGCTCCTCTTCCCCCACCCCCAACCAAATCCTGAGTAGTTCTAAAACTTATACTGCGCCCAAAGAAGTCCCTGATTTATGGAGTTTACTAATGCTAACTGAATACTGTCTGTCAGGCAGCGCTGAAAGGCTCTCCGCGCTAATACAAGAAAAGGCTTTGTGTTGCTAAGCGATTAGAGCAGATGTAATGAGATTTACCCCAATCCTGCTTTGCCCTTTCCCTATCTTCAGTAAAATTGTGTGTGTGTGTTTTCTTTCTTTCTTTCTTTCTTTCTGGAGGGGGCTGAGGGGAAAAAGGAGGGAGGAGGTGGTGAATTTCTGAGCCTGTCTTATACATTGTAGCGAACAACAGCGTAACTTTGCCTTTAGTTTAATGAGTCTGGATATTTACTATTCAGAAGTGAGCAAAAAAGAACACCTGTCTACACAAGGAAGAGAAATTTCGCCTTTGTAACAGAATGAAACATTATCCTAATGTTATATTCATAGCTATAAATTACTCGCTACACTTTCTTTGCATACCTTATCTGTACACTTGCAAAAGTGGGTAAATAAAAAGGGAGATGCTGTAAAGGGAGAGCGGATGACGGCATATAACGGTTATTATTTTCATAACTAAACATTAGTTCCACAAGCGGTTAAAACAATGAGTGTTTGTGCTAAAGTAATGAGGGATTTCGTGACCCCACCGTGTCCCGTCCTCCCGTCCGTCCTTCCCCTCCTCTTCCCTCCCCTCCCGCGATTAAATCACGTATTGATCATTTCAGGGCGCGGGGGGAGGAGGCGAAGGGGCAAACGTGTGTATACTTTAAAAGCAATGCAGGAATACACACGTGTAAGCGTCCATGTGTGTATATACAGCCGTGCATATATATATATATATATATATATGTTTTTATATATGTACGTATATCTATATCTATCTATCTATATCTGTCTATCCATAGTTACACATACACATACACACACAGAGACGGAAAACTCCGGGCTCTTCCACCAAAGTTTTTCCCTCTTCTTTTTTAAAAGAAGCGCATCCCTCGCAACTCGACGGCACATTTGTAGCAGAGTGGACTATTTTTTTTTTCTTTTTAACTCCGTACGACACACTGGCTCTCCCCAGTCTTTGTTGGGCTTTTTTTTTTTTTTTTTTTTTTTTTTTTTCTGTAAGATGCATTTTGAGCTTTGCGTTCCGCTTGGCTTGGTGCACGCAAACTGAATTTGCAAGTGGTGCAGGAGCCAGGAGAAAAGAAGGCGAATTCTAGTCACGTCCTTGCTAACTGACAACAAGCAGGCTAGCCAAAAAAAAAAAAAAAGAAAAAAAAAAAGAAGAAAAAAAAAAGCGGGGAATGGGGGGAAGAATCCAATTTCTTTTTGAGTCTTGGTAATTGGGTACTTTTACAGGCAGATCACGCTATTTGGACAGAATAACAAGTTTGGAAAGACCAATAGCTCTAGACTACCACAGATTTCTACTACTTTATTTATTTAATTTTATCTCCCTTCTCCTCTCGCTTCCCGTCTTCCCCGCGTCAGGTTTTATTTACCCAGCCAATCTTCGTAGAGGCAACACAGCGCCCCGTGTTTTGGGTGGCGGCTGTGCCATCCCCCGTATTTTCCTGCTCTGTTGGGTCAGAGCCGCGGAGGAGGACAGGGTCACACAGCCGAAATGCGGGATGGAGCGCCCTCTTTTTTTTAAGACTTGGGCTTTGGGGGGAATTCTGTAATGTGCAGTGATTTCAGGAAGGACAATGCAATCATTAATCATCCCCTCGCCTTTTGATTTGGATACACATTTGCAACACAGAAGGGCAAGAAAACAATGGTGATAGCACTAGATCTTTGCATATTTATATAGAGATAGATAAAGATATATATGTTACATCCATCAGGTACAAACACTTCATATGCAACTTAGCTCTGGTATAACATCGATTAACATTCTGTCCTTACATTCATCGTTGTCAATGGCAGAAAGAAAAAAAATTGCATGCGGGAGGCAGCTGGTAATTTTAATTAAAAAAAAGTTTTATTACGAAACTAGTTTATATAAAATAGGGTTATACAGGACCTTTGTCAATTTGTAATAAAAAAGTAAGAAAAGGCAGTGGTGGTGGTGGGGGTTGTTTGTTTACTTGTCTGGTTTTTTTTTTTTTTTTTTTTTTTCTTTTTTCACAAAAGGCAGCATATGAGAACAAATGGCTACCGTTTTGCGTTTGGACAATAGCTGCATAAACTTTGTTCACTTTGAACATTGTTTAATGACATTATTAATACATTAACAAAATTTCTATAAAGTAAGACACATTGGTGCTAAAGTACATCTGGAGAAAATCCAAGTCCTTTACAAAACCACATACAAAAATGGCAGTTGTAAGGTAACGTTGACTACGAGTCTAAACATGAAGAGGTAATAAGCATTACATATTAAAAAAAGTATCAAGATATACACATTTTAAACCATTTGTACAAAACCTCTATAAATCTCTCTCTTATGTACAAAAATAGCTTAATATATCCCCAACGGGGTTAGGATAGATACAAATAGATTTTCTTATCATAAAAAAAATTCACAAAAAAAACCCCCAAAAAAACAACAACAACAAAAAAGATTGGAAGCATTCTATGATGGAAACGAGAGGAAAAGCTTGGATTGAGGGGAGGGAGAGGCACGGGGAGATAGAAGGTAGACGGGGCTCCAGGGACTTCTTTGAGTACAGCATAGCTTAACTTCAGCATCTCCACAGACATCGGGAAACTAACTGTCCACAGGTGATGAACGCCAGTCTCTGAAGGGCCGCGGCGGCAGCGAGGTGCGGAGATGGGCCGCCTTTCTCCTGAGGAGGAGGAAGGAGGAAGAGGAAGAAGAGCTCCTCCGCCGGCTGAGGAGCGCAGCGCCCTTTCCCAGCTCCTCCGCCGGCCGGCCGCTCCGCCGGGGCGCAGTCCGTGGCAGTGCGACGGAGTGCAAAGGCCGGCCGGTCTCCGGGGCCGGGGGCGACCGCCCCGACCGCCCCCGCGGCGCGCAGCGCTGTGCCCGCCCGCCGAGAGACGTGCCCGCACCGCCCTCCGACGGCAGGGGAACTGGAAACGCAACAGGTTCTTTTTCCGCGTGGATTTTTGTCTCTCTGTGTGTGATCTGGTTTTGTGTCTTTTTTTTTCTTTGTTTGTTTTTGTTTGGTGGTTTGTTTTTTTTTTTTTCTTTTTGCAACTGTCCTGTAACAATAAAAGAGACAGAGTAGATCAGAGCCACGCCGCGAGCAGCGCAGCGTCGGGCCGCAGAGCCTCTCGTAAGTACCGCGGGACACACGGCGCTCGACCGAGGGGCAGCCCCGGCTGCGCCCCCTCCCCCGGCGGCTGCGGCCCCGCCGCCCCGCGTCCGTCCCCCCGCTATCCCCCAGGCCTTCCCCGGCCCTTCGCGGGCGCCTACCCACCTGCCGGGAGGGCGGCCGGCGCTCAGAACCAGCTTGTGAAGTCGAGAAGCTCCTGCTCCTCGGGGCTGAGCGGGTCGTAGGAGCCCTCGTCGGAGGAGTAGGAGGAGACGGGGGAGCCCGCCATGGAGTTCATGTCGTGGGAGTAGCTGGGCGAGATTGTGGGCGAGAGGACGCCTGCTTGGAAGGCGGCGCTGACGGCGTCATGCTCGTCGAGCAGCTGCTGCAGGGCGCGGATGTACTCGACGGCGGAGCGGAGCGTCTCCACCTTGCTCATCTTCTTGTTGGCAGCGCCGTTGGGGACGTGCTCCCGCAGCGTGGCGAAGCCCAGGTTCACCAGCTTCACCCGGTTGCGCTCCCGCTCGTTGCGCCGCGCCACGGCCGCCGGCTGCTGCTGAGGCAGGCTGTACCCGAACCCGCTGAAGTTGAGCCTCCTCTTGCAGCGCATCAGCTCCGGCGAGGCCGAGCGCTGCCGCTTGGCCGCCCGCGGCGCCGAGGGCTTGCCGCCCGGGGAGGCCTGCCCGCCCGCCGGGCTGAGCTGCGGCGGCGGCGCCCCCGGGGGCGGCCCCGGAGGGGCGGCGGCGGCGGCGGCGGCCACCGCCGCGGCGAAGAAGCACGCCGGCTGCAGGAAGGGCGGCTGTCCGGCGGCGCTGGACATCCTGGCGGGGCTGCCACTGGCCATGGGCGAGGGGGCGTCCTTAGAGGCGGGGGCGCCCGAGTGAAGGCCGGTCCCCGTCCTCCCAGCACCACCACAAAAAAAAAAAAAAAAAAAAAAAAAAAAAAAAAAAAAAAAAAAAAAAGAAAAAAGACAGAAAGAAAAAAAGAAAAAACTTGCGATGTTCAATGTAAAATTAAAAAAAAAAAAAAGAACTAGGCGACAGACGGCAGGGGAAAGGGACAGCAGCGACCGACGGGAGCGGACGGCGGAGCCGGGCGGGCGGCGGGGACGGCGGGCGGCTCTGCCCGCCCCCCTCCCTCTCGCCCTCCGTGCGGCGGCCGCGGGGAGGCTCGTGGCGCTCGCGTGTGCGCAGGCTGCTTTGCAAAGCCCCTTTTGCAAAAAAGTGGCTGAGGATTGTGTCTCTTATAAGGGGCGGATGGGGCTCGCCCCCCCCTCTTCTCCTACACACACACACACACACCGACACACACAGACAAACCTCCCCCCGCCACCCCCCGCGCTCACACACACGCACACCCTGCACCTTGCGCCTTCCACGCTCCCCGGCTTTGCCGGCCGCGATGCGCGGTGCACTGTCGCCTTTTCAGCGCGGGACACGCACGCACGCACAGACAGACAGACAGACACGCACACACAGACACACAGACGGACAGACAGACACACACACACACACACGAGCCCCCGCGCCCCCCGCCGCACACGCGCTGGCGGCCGCGCGGCCCCGCCTCCCCCCGCCGCCCCCGCCCCGCGCGCCGCCCCCGCCGCTCGCGGGTTTGTTGTCGCAAGTGCGTGCGCCCGGCGCGTGCCGCGCTCCCGGCCCTGAGCAAACACCCGCGCCGGGGCGCCGCGCGGGCCGGGGGCGGGGCGGGGGCGGCGCGCGTGGGCGCCGCGGGGGAGGGGGCGGCGCGGGGGCGGGAAAGCGTGAGGGGGACAGGGACAGGGACAGGGACAGGGGGGGAGCCCCGCCCGCCCAGGGGTCTCCGGGACGGGGTGCGCACCGGGCTGAGGGACAGGCAGCGGCTGACTCCCGGAGAAGCCCCAGGGTGTGCGGGGCATCCCTTGCTGAGGCCACCTCGGCGGCACCTGCGGGGGTTTGGAGGGGAGGGAGAGCCGCGGTGCGGGAGGTACGGAGGCGTCCCTTGGCGTGGGCAGGGCGCCCTTGCCATTGCGGGATGCGGCGCGTTCAGGGAAACTTCGTGTGCGGGACCTCGCTTTCTCCTTGTCCCCAGAGAGCACCGGGACGCCTGGTATCGCTCCCTTCGCTCACCGAGCGCTGCCACACTGAGCTCCGGGAGTGTCCGAGCCCCACCGCCGGGGGCTGTGGTCCCCCGCCGCTTCCAGCGGCCGGGCCGCGTGTGCCCGGCACCGCACACGCCCCGCGGACGGCCTGATGGCTTCATTAGCCAGCGACAAGCGCGGGCGAGCCGGGCTGCGTGACAGGAGGAGGCCGGCTGAGAGCAGAGCAGGGTAGAGACTTCTCGGGAGAAGTCACCTCGAATTACCCCTCTGGAATGCTGATCACCGCGGGGTCAGCCTGTCAGGAGAGAAAGAACAAACCACTCCCGGGCATGTCCCACGCGGGCAGCCCGGCACGGGGAGGGAGGAGGTGTGCCTCATAAAGTGAGGGTGTCTTGGGCAGAGCTGGCAGGTGTGGGGTCGGCCCACCCTTCACTGCCTGATGCTATTTCCCAGGCCCCCTGCTCCTCCCCTAGCGCCCTGCAAAGTGGAACTGGGTCACTAGCTTTCCAAGCAAGTATTGGCATTGGCTCGTAACTGGGGAGTCAGGATGGACCTGGCCTATGCAGGGGAAATTATCGCTGCTCTCAGGTGAAGCCTCACTTGTAGTTCAGGACCAAATGAGGCAAAGCAGCACTGGGGTGCCAAGAGTTTGAGGCTATTATGTCCTGGGGGTCACACTGACCCTTGGGGCTGCAGAGGTGTGGGCAGCCTGGGAGGCGTGACCAGGTTCAGCACTGGAGAATGCTGATCTTAGCATTCTCCCCCTGCCCTCCTGCCTTTCACATATCCATGTGTTTCTGAAGTCTTTAGCACATTTTCTGCCTCCTACTCTCTCATTTTCACTTCTCTCTGCACCTTTCCACTGTGTAAACTCAGATGTGAATGCTCTCTGACCCACAAAAAAAGAGCAGAGCCATGGTATGACAGCCTTGCTATGGTGATATTATGGCTCTAGGAAGTCCCTGGTAGGTGGCTTCAATCCCTGATACACCAGCTCCAAAGCATGGAAGGAGGGGACATGCACAGTCCATGTTAAGGTTTCAGTGGAAAGGACTGTGAAAGTAAGCCCTGTGCTGTTGACCTCCATTACAGCAGCCTGGAGCTGTAGAAATCAGTTCTTCTCATCTGCCATTGGATCCCTGACCCTGGCTGTGTGAGTTAAAAAAGTGAAAACCAGAAACATAGCACAGGAGAACCTCAGTGTGCACCTGCTAGCTAGAAATTGTATACTTATTTATGTCAGCTTTCAATGATGTATCATGTTAAACATGTCAACTTTTCAGCACATGTGATGAAAAATGAAGTAGTTCTGTGTGATCATATTTATTTTGGGGCCTCTTCACTGATCACTGACCAGTTTCTGACTTCGAGCCTACTGTCTCATCCCATGGGAAATGTTTTAACTTCTTTTATCCACTCTTGGGCAGGATAGCCAGACCTTAGCAGGATAAAATGTTTGCTTGTATTTCCTGTTTGGCGAGCTCTTCTTCTTCAGTTCCGAGTCTCCTGGATGGTTTGTTCAACATCCCTTGTCTGATTGAGAACAGACTGCACTGGAAGCAGTTGTTGCATCACCAGCTCTGCGTTATGACTTTGGGAAGTGCTAACAGAAATATCAAAGTAATTGAGGTCCATATATATAAAAATATATATATTTAAACAGACTAATTCTTCTGGAGCAGCCTGCTCCCAGAACTGGTGTAGAAACACCACATAGGGACATTCCTGCCCTTTCTCCTGGGAGTGGCAGAATAAGACTGGAGTTTCTGGGTCCCTTCTTCTCCAGTCTCAGAGGGCTCTCAAAAAGGCAAAAACTGTGAGTCCCAGAGGTCACCAAGTGTAACTCATGTAATTGTGCCTCCGTGGCCCCTTACCCATTTGGCTACCCTGGGTCATGGAGTGTGTTTGTGTGGGGGATGGATGAGGGGGGCAGAGCCTTTTCCTCCCTTTTCTCTTTCCTCCCACTGCCACCAGGGAATGAACTCATCCGTTATGTCTAAGGTAATTCCAATCTCACCAGCTCCTCTGTGTGCTCACTGCGCAGAGTAAGGGACCAGATTCCTAGATAATAAATATTGTTCCAAGGTCCCCCGCCTCCACCTACTCCTATGCACAGTCCTGCACCTGCGCCTTGAAATTCTTAATTCTAATATAATGATAAATAGCCCTTGCCCTTTTCATTTGGCACTTTTATTTTGGTATTTATTTATTTATTTATTTTAAAATCTTGAACTGTTATTATTTTCTAGTGACTTTTTTGTGTGCCTAAATTGTAGCCATACTCATGAGGCCTTTTGAAGTCTTTGCCTTAAAAAAAAAAAACCCAAAAAACCCACAAAAAAAAACCCCCCAGCTCTGGTATGCTTTTTTTTTTTCTTGCCACTTCTTTTCTTTTTTAAAGGCCATTTACGTTATGATTAAATGCTGTCTTGGAAAAGCAGAACGAAAGTCGTTAATCTATATAGATCTTCAAAGAATCGATACATTCGGGACTTCTGTAGGATTTGTTACACTCCATTTTGTTACAGTAGGCAGCTCGTCTGGATTTGGGCACATGTGTTTCTCTCCCTCCCCTCGCCCTCCCCCTCGCCTTTCCAGCTTCCCCCCCAAGAGTGAAAATAAAGTAAAAGGTCTTTCATGGTAAACAAAACCAGCTTATTCTCCACATAGAACACATGAATAGCTGGAAAAAAAACTTACAATAAATGGTGCATTTTTTTCTCTGCTGGGTATAGCATTCAAGATCAGTCCAGTATTCAAGAAGCAGTCCATTTTTTGCTCAGCAAGAGAGTTTAGAAAAGAAGCGTGGGGTCTATTCAAGGATCTTTTCCCCCTTCACAATTGCTGGGCTTTATGAAACCTATCTTCCATGCCTTGTCAGAGTATTTCTGGGGACCAATTAGTGCTTTGTTGCAAGGCTTCTTTGCTGAATCTTTGAGCAGCAAGAAAAAGCTCTCTTGAGTCTCCCCTTATTTTGACTATTTCAGTCATTACTCAGTGTAATAATTAATATGACAACTGGACGCTGAAGTTTGTATAGAAACACCTCGGCTGCAGGAGAGAGCGTGCAGTGGGTGGTAACAAGCTACAGATCAGACCGAGAAGCCACACACACAAGGAAGGGAGAAAAAAAAGAGAGGGAGAGAGAATAATGAATGAAAAGAAAGAGAGAAATAATAAAGATAAATAAATAGTTGGTGTGGCCTGAAGAAACATAATACAGACTTGGAAGAAAGAAAAAAAAAAGGCACTTGGAGTGGTGTGTGTGGGGGGGTTTCAACCCTAGAGAGTTAAACTTATTTTGAAACAGTTTCCATGTGAATATAATTTTCAAAATTTTCTACTTTCAGAAGTCAGGAAAGAGGTTTTCTCCTGAAAAGGCAAGATGGTCCCTTGGGTAGGTAATTTTTAAGGGCTGTATGTTTGCACTTTTGCATAGTTGATAAAGTTTAATGCCTCTTCCTAAGCATCCCTTTATGAAAATAAGAACTTAACCATGAAACTTTATTCTTGATTAATTGTTGACCATCCTGCCCAGAGTGGAGAAGATGGGTTATGGGAGTAGCAAGTTCGAATTTTCTTGGTGTTGTATCATCTACAAGAGGAATAAAGCCTCAATGAAGAATTAAAAATGACGTTTGACCAGGGACACTGCTGAATTCTCCTCGAAAGGCGTCTTGGGATGAATACTCATCACTTTGCAGACATTTCTTGGGCTGCCAATTAGGGCATAATAAATAATTAGAGGTTTTAAGCGTATTAGATACAGCTCATGCTAATGAGCTACATCAGGTCTTGTGCTAACCTGAAGTGACAGTTTGCATATAGGGCTAAAAAAAAAAAAAAAAAAAAAAAAAGCAAAAACCAAAAAACCCAAACAAACAAACAAACCTCAAAAACCCCAAACCAAACCAGCCGCCGAAGCAGCCTTCCCCCCGCGGCCCCGTCCCGCTCGCCCCTCCGCAGCTCCCGCGGGCCCCGCCGGGCGGTGCCGCCCGCTGCTCTCCTGCCCTCCGCGCCCGCGGAGCGGAGCCCTTGGCTGCCGGCTCTGCCGGGTGGCCCCATTGTGCGGCCACGAGCTGCGCGTCTGTCACAGCCCCGGGGGATAAATCACACCGGGCTGCCCTCCCGCATACCCCCAGCGCCACTTTTTGGAGAGTTTTTTGGGGGGTGGGCTGTTCCCGGCTTATCCGAAGCGGCGGTGCCTCGCAGGAGGGGTAGGAGAGGGTTTGGGTGATGACTACGCAGCCTGGGAAGCGGATCCCGCGCTGTTCCTGGGGAGGGCAGGCGGCGGGGACAGCCGGGGTCCCCCTGCCGCCAGCCAGCTGTGCCGTGAGGACACAGTGCCACCTCCCGGCCACCCGCGCCCGGGAGGGAAGGAGCCGGGGAAATCGGGTCGGGATGGATGGGGTGCAGCCTTGAGGTCTCGGGGAGCCCGTCTCTGCAGTGAGAGGGGATATGGCTGGGTGGCTTTGCCAGCAAGATGCAGAGGGACATGCGCGGAAATGCTGTCCTGTGTGGGATGTACAGCACCCTGAGATTTCTGGTAAATGCATACACCATTTTGATAAGGGGGATTCCCCACCCCCATCCATGCACACACACACACAAACCACCTAAGATACTCGTGGAATCCTCATCTGGGAATTTTTTCCCTCACCTTCTGTTTTCATTAGAAAATCCCCTTTCCACTGCTTACTGCACCCTCACATGCACTGGGACATCCTGAACCAGGAGGGAAGCAGGGAGCTGCAGGCGAAGGATAGGCCCAGTGTCCTGGCACAGGAAGGGACATCCTTGCCCAGACACAAAGACTCACAGCTCCAGGGAAGCCGCTGCTCTGTGAGTGTGTGGCAAAGAGCAGTCTGAAAAGCAGCCAAAGTCCGTGGCCCCTTGAACTCACATCGTGCCGGCCAGGGGAGCTTGCCAACTTCAGCGCAAAGAGCCCTGTGAGCTGTGGTTGAGAGCACAGCCAGAAAGGACTACATGTATGTGTCTGAACTCAAAGAAAGTATATTTTGGAGGGAGAACACGTGCTTTTAGGCAAAAGCAAAGTGGGAAATCAATGCATATCGGCATGTGGTTGAAAGCAGAGGGGGTGCACGATGCTGCAGCAAAAGCCCAGAGCAGGTCTAACAGACTTAAAGTCCAGGTGCTCACACCGGCCAGGGGGCACATGAGGAAACTTGAAACCCAAGTGAGAAAACCTGGTTGGCAGTGTCACTGCAGGGGGATGAACCCATCCTTGGTATGCTGAAGTAGTACTTCAAAGAGAACAGGGAAGCGCCAGCAGTTTGGACTCTGAAATGGCCCAAGGTAACAGATCCTGATGCAACTGCATATTCCTAGAGTAATGTCACTGGGCACACACATACTCACACACCACTTTCCTCCAAAACAAGAGAATTTTGGAATTCTTCCTAGCAAGATGGAACTTTGTTTGCATCAGCCAGTGCCTTTTGCTACCAGGCAACCTCTGACAGTGCAGACTGATCAAACAATGAACTGGTGGTAACACATTGGTGATATTATTATGAGTGTGTAACAACAAGGGTGAGAGATAATCTTGCAAAATAAATACAAAAAAGCAGGGGGTAGGAGGCTAAATAGATAATTACAAAGATTTGACAGGAGCATTATTTTAGGTATTTGATATTTCATTTTGTCTTGCCATTACCATTGGGTAGAGTGGACGCACACAAGAAAAGGGATGGAGAAAGGGAAGGAAGGAAGACCAAAAGCATGTAAAAGCCACAAAGAAGTAAAAGAGAGATTAAAGATTATTGAAAAGAGTAGGAATAAGAAAAGAAAGAGGAAGGCACAAACAGAGGAAAGAATAGTTTATCTCACTGAAAAATACACCAGGTGGCAAGGCATGGTGTGTGGGGAAAGTAAACAAGACTAATTTCTGGAGTCCATCTTGTCCTGCACAGGGGCTATAATCAGAGTTGCCACCATCTTCATCTCACTGGTATTTTTTTCCAAGGTGTCCTTCAGTTTCCCTGTCATGGATAGGGCTGTGCCTTGTGCTGCACAAACACAGGACACAAAATACTGGCTATCATAATGAATGTACTGGCTAGTAGTTAAAAACCCAGTAGTTTTTCTACTGCTGGCAATTACTGGGGATACTTTCCTCCACTGCTCTGCCTTTCCTTGCCCCATCCTATTGCCATATGAGCAGGATCCAGTGTGTTTAGTATGCATCACATTTGGCTATCTTGACCTGCCAGCCCATACCACAGGCTTGCTGATCACTTCAGAAATAACTTCAGAATTCAGAATAATAATTCTACCCCTACAGGCAGTTTCAGGATGCACAAAGAAGCAGCTCTTCTGAAAAAGGTATGTACTTGTACCCAAAGCATGGAGTTACTTCAGATGCATGTTATATAATTGATAATTTCAGTGGTATGGATTCTGACTCCAAAGTCATGGGATCCAACATGGATTTGGAATGAGAACTATGAAAATGGTTCCACTCAGTTTCCCACTGTATGGCTGCTGGGTTTTGTATGTATGAACAATTTACAATAAGTCTTTGCTAGTTCTCACCAATCTGAGGCTGCACAGGTGTGTGTAGTAGAGCTTCCTTCAAGGAAAAAGAATTTTTCTTCATCATGAAAATATAGCAAGATTACATGCCTTGGCAATTTGTCTCTGTAAGACTTTGTTTTCCCAAATAGTAAGATAGATACTTGTCAAGTTCCTTCCTTTTTTCACCTGCCCTCTCATATTGGGCTACAGCTTTCCAATCTCCTTTACCCCCTTTGGTGACTCTTATTAAGCCAAATCTGGGCTCTGTCAATATCAGTACTTTACTAACCTTTCCTGAAATAATTTCTGTGTCCCACCCTATTCCCCTTGTGCTTTCCATGGCTGACACCATATGCAAGCATGCGTACATCATCTGCAGTTCTTCTACATCTTCCTGCTTTGACCCACTCTTTCCTCTTCCTTTTCTTCCTTTCCCTTCCTCCCTTTCCCCATGCTCAGGCTCATATCCCAGTGTGAGGTTCATGCAGCTAACTCCTGTCTCTTGCTTCCCCTGTACTGGGTGTCTCTCTCCAGTGTCTGGTGAGCAGAGTGGTGTCTCCTGCTCTCTAAGCTCTTTGGAAGCAGCCCCAGAGGCCCTGCTAAAGGACAAATCCCTCAGCTGCTGTGCCTTGCCATCCAAAGAACACATCCTGGAGAATGTCTGATGTCTGTCCAAGGGGAGTGACCCCGAGGGGAAACCCACCTGAGGCTGAGCACACAGCTGCAGTGGGAAGGAACGGGCTGGAGGCTGAACTGAAAACCATGTGTTGACTTGAGAAAATGAAAACAGCTGATGTTGATCAGGAGGAGGAAGGCTGTTAATTCAGAGCATGCTGCTCCTCCACGTTGGGTGCAGACAGAAACAATCTGCTGGAGAGCTGCTCCATGCAGGCGTGGGACTTCCAGGGTATGGCTGGTGTGGAGCAGCTGCTTGGTGTGCCAGGGGTGGGTGGGGTGGGCGTGCAGGGAGAACGCCCCCTTGGCATGCTGTCCAGGGGAGGGAGCTGGGGAAGGGAATGGCTTTGCCTTGCCTGCTCCACTTTAAATACCTTTGCACAGATCTCTGGCCACTGCAGTTAAGTCAGAAGGCTTTACCTGCTGTAGTGAGGGGGCCTCCCTGTGTGGGCATTGCTGCCTCTGCAACATGGACTCACCGCACTGCAAAATGAATGGTGACTCTTTCCAGGTAAGTGATGGGCTCTGTGCCTGCTTTTTGCAGAGGTGGAGGGGTGTCTCCTTCACTCCTGCTCTCCTATGCTTGTCCTCCACTCTCCGAGAGGCAGTATGACCCAAGAGGGGAAGAATCTAGGTGGCCTGTCGTGATGCTTTGCAGTACCTGAACAATTTTGGCAGCTCCTATATTTGTCTGCTGTTAATTGTGCTTACAAAAACACAGTGAGAATGCAAACAAACATTGTAACAGTATCCTTGTGTACACGGAAAAAAGACAAACAATCAGAAAATATGAGAAGCTTACTGGAGGTCTTAAACATGTGTGATGAAAAAGCTGTCTTCTCTTGTTAAAGGAAAACGTAAGAAGTTATGTGCTTTCCTGGTGCAGTTTTTTGTTAAATCTGGGACTCTCTTGTCTTTTTTTTTTTTTTTTTTTTTTTTTTATGATGTTTACTGACTGACTTTGAACTCTTTGCTTTGGGAAATACAGGAAAGACCTGAAGTTCATGCCTTTTAAATACAGGCACTGATATCACTGCAGGGGCAAATGATGTAACCTGAGGCCAAGCATGGTTAATTATTAGGACAAAATTCTGCACTTATGTGTCCTATGCAATGCTGCTGAAGTGAGAGACTGGCTGCATCAGAGGTGCAAAGAATCCAAAAAAGGCTTCTATTTTTATATAAGAGCAGAGATGCCAAGGAAGCCTCTATTCCTCCTTCTTAGTGTGCTGAAGCTGAACTCCCAGAATATTTCTCTTGATTCTCACCTTGCTGCTTATTCAAGTTGTGTAATTGCTTGATTTCAACAACGACTGCCATGATGAGCATTTAAATGCCTTAAGAAATCTGACTTGGAAACTAGTTCAATTTTCACAAGTAACTTGGAAATTTTAAAATTTGAAATATTTTTTCCCTTCCTCCCCTCCCCCCCCATTTTGCACATCTAGTAAATTTGAACTTTACAGCAGTGAGGTGAAAATTTTGCATTCCTGAAATTGCGAGAAAAATGTTCTCTGGCTTTACCAGTGTTGGAATTCACTCTGAAGGACTTTAGCTAACTGTCTCAGCAATGGATTAGAAGGCTGACAAGGTTTTGTTATTGACCCCTAATGCTGCCATCTGTGTCAGAATGGCAATACCAATCTATGTGCAATGTGGCTAATGAAAAATACAGGTTTGTGCTCAGGTAAACCTATCCTTGCATCTACATAACACATTTTTTGAGATCAGGGGTGGTTGTTCATGCTCTTCAACTGGTTCTCATTTTATTTACTGGAAAAAAACAGCTGGAGAAAAATTAGAGCTGAATTTATGCACAGTATAAATCACATATCACAGAGACAATATTTCAACACAATAAACTTTCTTCAACTCTGGATCATAATCACAATAATAAAAAAACAGTAGAACTACTCCAAAGTTGCAGTTCCTCTATCTGTGTTGAGGGACGAGAAGTTAAACTCCAAAATGAGAATAGAAAAACTAATCAACAGTTAAAGCTATGCTTAACTACTACAAAAAGCTCAACAATAATTTTCTGATTCTTTCTTTTTGCTGCTATCACCTCCAGTGCACGTGTTGAGGTTTATTATCTGCAGTGTGTATTGGTGCTGGCTGCCTTCATATATCCTGATAAGAACTGGGGACCAGGAAAACAATAATTTTAGTCTTCTCCCCCTTTGTAATTAAAGATGTCACCTCTGTGACAGGCTCAGGCATGGAATGATGCTTGTTAAAAGACCTTCCAGGGAACTGAGTGCGTATTCAGGTGTGCAAGAAGTTAAGCAAGCATGAGGCTGTTTACAGCATTAGTGCCTACTCCCTACTGCTACTTGTCTTTCTCATAAGCACCGATCTAAATCAATTTACAAGAGTGGGAAAATGACTGAGGACAGATGGAAAGCAGCTGATTTCAACAAATCAAAGCTAGTGACCAATGAGTTTGGAAAGGTTTTCTAAGGCTTTTTTTTGTGTCATGTCATGTATGAAGAGATCAATTATTATCATCAGAATTACTTTGCAGGACTTCAACTTTGCATTATATCCCCTGCAAGTCTGAAAACCACAAATTCTTCATTTGTCACACATATTCAAATCAATCTCATATAAGTTGATCCTCACGGCATGGTATAGCAAGAATATTTTAAATATATAACTGCAGGTTTTTTTGAGCAGTTTCCTTGCAGACAGTGAAAACCAAAATCTCGATCCATTGGACAGACAATGGAGCCAGTTTTGTCCTTGAGATCAGTTTTGGCTGTTGTGGGTGAAAACAGAAGGAAAAAGCAATGGATGGACAGTATTTGAGATGACAGCTTTGGTCACACTACCATAAAGTTTCAGTACAACATACATTTGTTTTGACTTTTGCCAGATTCCTGTCATCGTTTTCCCTTGTGGTTGCTTGAGGTGTAAATGGGTTCCATTAGCCAGCTGACACATCACTTCCAGCTGCTTTTCCTCTTGGTCCTCCCGATGCAAGAGCTGGGCTGGATGGATGGGGACTCAGGAGACACAGAGATGCTGCAGGAAGTGTCACAACTGAACAGGTGGCAATCTTCCTTCTGATGCAGCACTTCTACTGCAGTTCGCACTAGAGGTCCCGCATAAAGCTGAAAGACATTGGGAAAACTTTGCAGCCTCTGGAAACAAAGCCAGATAGAAAAATGTGTGGCCAGCCTGTTAGCAGCAACCTTGGAGGCAGCCTTGGAGATGGCTTGAAGAATCAGCAATTATTTACTCTACAAAAGAAGGCAGCTCTTCATAGCTCTGCCTCAGGAAATGTAGGCCCACCAAGAACTTTATGGCTTCAGGGCAGCTGGCTTTGATTAATAATTTGTCTTCTACAAAGGCTATCTTTACTGAGGACAATATTTGGGAACTGGGACTCATTTTACTCTGAATTATATGTTCAATTGAGCAATAGCCATAATGAGAGCAAGCTCTGCCCAAAAATACAGATCTTTATAATGAATATTTGAATGGGTACCTTGAATCAAACTCTAGCCCAGGACTTGTTACACCAGGATTCCTCTGTGTTGTAGATGTCTGCTGTGATCTTTGAAATAACAACCACAAGCCAATTTGTCCAAGGCCAGTAGATGTTAAAAAAATGAAATAAACATGCAAATAAGATATTAATATGGCCTCCAAGAGTTTGTGATGGTTGTGCAACAAATTTACTCTGATATATCAGAAAGATTAAGTGATTGAAATCTCAGTAAGCATTTAACTGCCATGCCAAATACCCAGCTTTTAGATCTGCCTCTACTCCAGGGCTCAGTTTCCTCTTTCAGAAGTGGTGAAATAGCTCTGCCCTTCTTAACAGGACTTTTGTGAAAAGAAACACATGTAGAGACATGCAAAGACATTCTAGTAATGAGAACCATGAAAATAATGAAAATAAACCTTTGAAGCGTAGTGGAAATTGCCTTTTGGAATTTGCAGAGTAGAAAATCAGTAAGAGAAAGGGAACAAACATAAATGAAAACACATCTTGCCCTAACTTAGCCTTTACTCATTATGGGATTTAGGGAAGATCTAAATGTTTGCTCCAACTTTTTTTTTTTTTAATTTTCTTTGCTTGATGTTGTTATTTTGTTTTAAAGTTAGCTTCCATATCCTTGCTGCAAATACTACCTCTGTCCTGGGGATACCTGGAAGGTACAAACAGAACTGAAGGGAAACACAGGTCATGGTCTGCATCTCTGCACAGAGCTCATCTTCACTGCTCTGCTTAACCCTGAGTGCTGATGAAAAGAAAACCTGAGGGAAGGACTTTGCACTGGGCTGAAACCAAAGTGCAGTAATGTTTCCAGTCACCCCTGAGGGGTGACGTGAGGCAAGGATGGTGTTAGGTTTATTTGCATGTCCTTTTTGACTTCCTTCCTCTCACGAGGGCTCTAGTTTGGGAGAAGGGATTTATGTCTCTACCATCATAAATCAGAGCAGCCCCAGAGCTGCTCTGCTTCTTGCAGCAGCAGCAGCCTTGATTCCTGCTTAGAGCTGTTTTATACCTCCTTTACATCACTGGTGCTGTCCAAAACGGACATGGAAAAAGGCAAAACTGACTCCTAGAGTGAATGGTAGTAATTTCTGTTTGTGTATTTTTTCTTTCCTTTCAGGAAACTAGCTACATTGAAGACTCCCCCAGTAAAAATGGTGTGATTTCTTTGATTTTCTCCCTGAAAGAAGAAGTTGGGGCATTGGCTAGAGTCCTGCGCACATTTGAGGTAAATATTTTCCTTCAAGTCTTTACGAATTTGTATTGCAGCCGCATTTTCTTGGGGTCTTGGAGGTTGTGTTTGTGATTCTATTTCATTGCTATTACAGGGGAAACCAGCCTGCATTTCTTTTCTGAGCTTAAAATCCCTTAAAGTCTTGGGGCAGAAGTAGCTTTTTTAAACTAAAACCTTTACCTTTAACTGACATGAGGGTGGGAAAATGCATTTTGTCCACTTAAGAGGGAAATATCATAACTGTTGTAGTAAGAGGTAGGGGTGACTTGGGCTGTGACCTAAGATTGACTTATAACCAAATAATTTGCCTTATAACTTGTAAGGCAAATATAACCTGCATGTGAGCCATGTGACTCACAACCCACGTTGCATGAGGTATTTCTGCTGGGGGCAGCTCTTGGCTCTTGTCCACCCCAGAAAAGTCTGATATAAGAGATTCTACTCCCTCCCCCCTGCAGTACTTCTACAGAGTGGGTGGAGGGTGCCTAGAGGATAGCATAAAAATGACACTATTTTTTTTTTTACACCAAGGGGACTTAGTAACTTATGCTGAGTGTTTTGGAAAAGTTTTAGGGAAACATGGAGCTATTTACCTTTCAGGACATTGTGTGCCTATTTATTCTTGCAGAAATATTTCCCAGATGTCATGAATGTTGTTTGAAAAGCACAAAATCCTTGTAGTTCAGGATAGTTGAGTTGCAACACACAGCTGTGTACTCTATGCTCCCAAGCAAATACACTTTTATATTGGTTCTGTGGCTTTTTTCTTCTTTTTTTTTTTTTTTTTTTTTTTTTTTAATGCAATAGTTGTGCCTGAAACCAGCAATTTCTTTAGAACGCTCTAAGAAGTTGTGGCCTGCATATTTTCCATTTGTAAATTGAATTTACTAGGAAATGAAAGGTTGTTACGGGTACAAAATAAAAATAATTATGAGTTTTAGGACATATTTGATTCATTAAGATAAAAGGGAATTCACACCAACAACAGAAGAGCAAGTCTAAGTCTTTGAATTGACCAGTAAAATCCTGTAAAATGTCCATATGTCAGTGATGTGCATGTCTGTAAATGAATTAATGAGCCTACTGATATTTTCTTATTAAAAGCATTGATGTCTACTAACCAAATTGCTGTCAGCTCTAACGAAAAATTTGTAGAGGAGCTAGTATAGGAAAGAGAGAAGTAATAATTTCTTGGATGTGACTTTTCTTGCCCCAAAGCAGATACCTAAACTAGACCAACACAGCCACTTTTTCCCAGTGGCCCTGATTGCAGCTGAGAGGTTGGGACTCAGTTGGTTTTCCACCCCAAAAAAGCCAATTCTTTCTGTGCTAACTCTCAGCCTCCTCCAGCACCAAGGATCAACAAGAGACCTGGCATAGACACTCTTATATCAGTTTTACCTTTGGCATTGTATAGGGGAGATGGATGGATGGATGATGGGATTTAATGGTACAAGAACAACTCCTCAGGGCTGTTGTTAGTGAATTCCTGGTGTAAACCAGAGAGAGCAGCCTTTGGGCTCTTATAACTCCATTCCAAGAACTGCACAGAGGTGTAAGTTTTACATACATGCCCAGCTGGGAAAACCTTCCCCCTTTTCCATCTGGGCCATAGCTATGGTGCCTCAGAGAAACAGAGTTTGTGCTTAGTGACGTCCACAACACAGACAGGAAAAGTGGTGACAAGCAGGTAAAGAGTGGAAACAAACAGGAAGGACTTGAGGGATTTTTTTTTTTTTTTTTGTCTTGTACTCCTTCACTGCCTAATAAGATTAGCTGTGAGATGCTACTGCAGCTAGCTCAGACTCTCTGTGGGTGGGCTCCTTGGGCGGGGAGACACCCAGCCTTGTCCCCTGGTTCGTGTCACCAGCTTGTTGCTGGCTTGTGGAAATGTGGTGGATTTGTCTCAGAGGGGCCCCACAAGAGGAGATGCGAGGATGGCTGCTCCAGCTGTCATTGCCTCATGCAGCCACACACAGCAGGGAAAGAGAAAGCTGACAAGCCACAAATAGGATCAGGCTGTTTCCAGGAGCAGATGTGGCGCTGCAATTGTTCATTTTATGGAGGGGGTGCACACCTTGTGCAGCTGCTGGTGCTGATGGCCATGTGCTGCCTGTCTGTAAACTTTCTGTTCCTTGCTGAGGTCAGGGGTGCCCAGACTCCTGGCACCTCTCTGGGCACTCACACATGGGAATGCAGGCAGAGAGCATGGCTCAAACCTCTCCTCCCAGCTCGGATTTGGGAGTGATTAAGGGACAGTGCCTCCAGCACTGGCTTTGAGGATTTTGCCTCTTTTCTAAGCAGTCTGTAAAACCAGTCTGGGACATGAAGGGGAGAGGAGGAGGGTTGAAGGAGTTGTAAATATGAAAGACTTGAAAATTTGCCCTCTCTCCCAGGGAAGGAAGCATGGAAGCAAGATCCAGACTGAGTAATAGGGAATTGATAGGATACCTAAAGAAAAGAGAAATCTTGAGGAGCCATCAGCACACAGGTTGTCTTTCTGTAGAGGAGGATTCTGTATGGACCTGGGAAGACTCATCCTCTCCTTGGTTTAAGAACTGAAAAAATTTTTTTACTCTGTGGGAGCACTGTTCAGCCACTCAGTCCCTTCCTGGGATGCACTCCTAGGTTCACACCCTGCCACTGCCCCACTCCTGTACTGGGGTGAAACTGTCCAGACTTTAGCCCCTGTCACACCTTGTTCTCCATGGGCAGCAAGATAAAGGGACACCAAAGGGTGTGCTCTGGCCTGGGCCTGCCCCTGGATATCATGAGGTCCAAAACTTCTGGCTCATTGAGCATCATGGCAGGTAGAATCTGTACTCACCAACAGAGCAAACCACCCAGGAAAGGAGTAAGTGTCCAAACACAGCCCAGATGGAAGGGGTAAGCCGCCATTATGGGAGCCAGGGTGGACTGAAGGTAGGGGAGTCTCCTCCATGGGGGGGGAGGCTAAAGGCTACAGAGTGCTCATAGCACAAAATTATGTCCTCTAACTGAGACCACCAAGTTTAAGAGAATTTCAATGTGTTTTGTGGAAAAAGTAATGTTTCTCCTACTCAAACATCCCTCAGGGCTGCTCATGCAGTTGGCAGAGTACTGCATGCTCACATTTGTTTTTTTGTTCAAAGACCTAAACTCTAGTTTTCTGTTCAGGTCCCAGTTGCACACAAATATGTGGTTACAGTGACAACTCTTGGTTTTCCCTATGTAGCTTGAAGGGTTTTTTTCCTGAGGAATCTCCTCAATTAACTCAGCTCTTTTTGTCTGCTGGTTTTACGTCCAAAACCTATTTGATTATCTCCACATTTTTTCTTATGTTTGCTCAGGAAGACCCATCTGAACACCTGACCTCAGCAGGCTTCTAAGCTTTTCTGATCCCTGGCTCTTGTCTCTTCTCTCTGTTTTGCAAATCCTTGCCTGACTGCATGAATCTGTTCCTCCTGGACTGGCACAGCACAGAGCTATGCCACTGCTGGCAGTACAGCCCCTGCAGCCCCTTCTTCACCTGTCCTGTGGAGAGATGTGTCTGCAGGGCCAGACTCACACTCTGATGTGCTGTAAAGTGTTAGCAGCTCAGTCATGCCCAGCAATAAGCAGATTGCTAAAGCTGTATCCACTTTGCTTCCACACTAGCTGCTCTGTTTGTATGTTTGGCTGTGGCAGACTTTTTGCTTGTCAAACCCAATTGTTTTGCACTTGCAAAGCCCCTTTGTCACCTCTGTCCTTCTTGCAGGCTGGAGAGTGGCTGTAAGGACAGCACAAGTTTACCAAGCAGGGTCTTTGCACTGACTTAATTTTAATGGGCCCTTCTGTACACTGATGTACTCCTTGGTGCAATCCTGTGCTGTTTATTTGTGTCATAGTAGATGACACCTGGCAGCCAAAACTTGAATCGATATCTTCATCTGAAACAGAACAGCACACATGAGTAAAGTATCATGCTTAAAATCAGGAAGACAGACCAGTCATTGTGAAATTGTGGGTTTTTTTTGATTCACTGGATACATCAAAAATGTTCAGAGTATAAGTTGAGGCCAAAAAAAAAGAGAGAAATCTTCCAGGTTTCTTATCAAAACTGAAAAAGCAAAACTGAGCCATTTGGGTTGACCCAAGTGTTACACTTAATAGAAACACTTGTTTCTCTGCAGTGATAAAAGCATATTGAAATTGAGGTGGCTTTTTAAACAACAAAATTCATCCTGAAAGAAAAACCTCTCAAAGATTTCCTTTTCTGTAGCTAAATTCATCAGTAAAAATATCAGAAATTTGCATATACAAAAAAGGATTGCCTTCAGTTTCAATTATAGATTTTCCACATAAATCTGTGACTATACTAATCTTCTCTGAAGTTCTGTTTGATTTACAAGTAGTAAATTGTCAGCTGTTTTAAGTGGCAAACAGTAGAATACATTACACATTTGCTTAATCCATTGTAAGAGAGAAGAGAGGAGCCTTCTATCTTTTCCTCAGTGATGGGACCTTCTCAGATACAGGGCAGGACTTGAGTGCAAGGTGGGGCCATCAGTGAGCAGGGCTCTAGCTCAAGAGCAAAAAAAAAAAAAAAAAAATTTGATTTGCACCAAGTACTCCTGTTGCCAACATAAGTTACTATCCCGTGGGGGTAAGTTACTGTTCCATGGAAGGATGGGATGGGAGTAACAAGCTGTACTAAGTGAGACTTGGCACTTTCAGAGTCAGCAGAGGTAACTCTGCTCTCTTTCTGTTTAGGAACTTTATTCCCCAGAAAGTCCTACGTGACTGTTATCTCTTTGTCCCCTGGGAAGGTCCTGACTCTGCAGTGGCTGTGGCTGTTTCCAAATCAGGGGAAGAAAACAGTCACTTTGGCCAGCGGGTGTGTTGGAAGTGGCTGCTGCAATAGGTGAACTGGCCAGGCTCGCCGCTACCACAAGACTGTTTTTTCATTATACTGTACATATGCACAACAATGATCATTTCATTGCAGTGCTCCAAATCCACATCCCTGATCTTATCCCTCCTCTTCCTATGGCCAAAAGAGCGGGACTTCTTGATCTAATGAACCCACATGGGTTTAAAGAGGCGAGTGCTCTCTTCACAGGTGCTTATGCAATGCCACACGCTGTCACGTTTTTGGTTTGTCCTGCTCCACGTGTTTTGTAGCCAGATTCTGCTGCAAGCCCTGTGCCAATTTTCAGGGTTGGAGCTGAGTGATGGACACCAGGGGCTGCTCCAGGGCCAGCTAGCCTCTTTGCTGGCAGGGACCAGCTCTGTGACACTTTTCCCCCATGAGCTTGTAAGGAAAAGCCTAGCAGCTGTGAAGGAGAAGATGGGAAAACGCTGTCTCCAGCTGAGAGGTGGACCCTTGGACAGTAAGAGCTGAATGAGATGGCTGCCTTTGCCTTTTCTTTGGGAATCCATGGCTGAAAGGATTACTGTAACTTCCTAAGTCCTCTGATCTATGAAAATTAAGCACTGAGCTTATACTTGTGCTTCTGAAATTGTCCTCCTTCAGGAAACCCTGAACTATACCATGGCAAGGGTTAAAAGAACATCTCATCTTTTTTCTTTTTTTTTTTTTTTTTTTTTTTTTTGGTAACAGAAAGTGCAAGTAAAATCTTTCTTCTGTGAGATTTGATTTTACCCAAATTCTCACTTATTTGTTGATTAGTGGCACTATAGTGTTGTTGAAAGGTCTTCACCTGGTAACAATATGGGGTCTCCTGATGAAGTCAGACTTCTTTAATTACAAGAGTAATGAAAACAAGATGCAGCTGGATTTCACAGCTGTACTTAGTTTTAGAACCATATATAGGAGCATTTAGTAATTAGTGAACAGAAGAATGTGCGAGTGTCATGGGAAGTATTAACCCATAACGTTTGCAGAAAGGATCCATCCCTACTGAAATCTTCCCTGTGTAGCTATGAACACACAACTTTACTTTTCTAGTCACCAGACCATTAAACAGAGGGTGGGACTAAATTCTCTTGGCAGTGACTTCAGCAAGACTGCTGGTGTACTGCAACACCAGCCTGGTTTTCTCCTGCTGGTGTGGGGCAGCTGCAGCATAGGTGGTGCTCAGTTAGGATGGGAAACCTGGAATAACCTGGTCAAGGGGTTGGGGCTCCCTCACTGACTCTGAGAGGGAGCCAAGGCTGAGATCCGGCACTATGAGGTAAGGCAGGGAGGGACCTGGGCAATTTCCTCTCTGCATCCACCATTGTCTCTATTTTAAATTTATATTTTAATTGCTACCCTCTTCTAACTCAGAACTAATTCAAATTTGGTTTTTGAGCTCTGAGAACGTGCCTTGAGACTTGCTTCCCTAATGGATAGTGATAGAGGTCCAGTTGATTTGGATATTAAAATAATGAAAGCTGAGTTTTTCTACCCCTCGGAGTAGGGGCTTTAAGAAAAAAAACTGCAGCAGGCACATGGTTGTATGACAGGATGTGTCCATGGGGGAGAGACTCAACCTCTCCCCTGGTCATAAACCTGAAGAGGAGAAGAGACATACCAACCTGCTCTCCAAGCTGCAATGGGTGGTGGGGTGAATTCAGCACAAAACGTGATAATTGAGATCTTCCAAAGGTGTTAGGTTCCATCAACAAAAAAATAGCTCATAGAACTAGAATAACTTTAATTAGCTGGCTTTTGAAGGCATATATTGTCAGGATGTCAATCTCTACTAAAAAACAGAGATTGAAAACTGCTTAAAATGTACAACCAAACAAACAAACAAAAAAATGCCCCCATTCTCCTTTCTCAGGCAACTAATTGTCTCCAGAAGTTGGAGATTTAAAGAAAGCATCATCTATTGGGAGAAATGTGATCCAATATCAAGATTTGGCAACCTCAAGGATACAAAAAAGTTCTGGACTATGTGAAACAATGAAGATTAAACACTAGATGGAGTAGTTGGACTAGAATGAAATTGAGATTTGTAAAGCAACTCTAGTAACAGAACCACTGTAAATATTTTGAAATCAAGGGCTTAGTAGCAAGGCACACTTCTCCAGGAGTGCCAGTTCAAGGAGCTGGGCATATGCTGCTGGATTCTTGCTCTGAAAAAAGTCACCAGAAGGGTTCTCCCTTCAGCTTCTCTTTTGTGAGGTCCTGAAATCTTGTCAGAAAGAGATAACAGGTTGGCTCTGCATGTTGCTGAGTGGCAGATGTCCCTCAAATAAACAGCAGAGCATCTTGACACTCTGTGGAAAGGTGTTCTGCTTCTCTCAGGTGTAAGAAAGGAGGTAACTCTCTCCATGGGCTCCTTCCTCCATCTTATTTTTCCCCCTCTTTTTCTCACTGTCCTAGGCTATGATAGTTTGAGGGGTATTGATACTCCTGCTGCCTTAAGCGTGTCTCGTGCCCACCCTGCAGCTGATCTCTTCACTCCCAAGCCCTGCATCATTCTGTTTGTTTTAGGGGTGCTGCTGTCTGCGCAGCTGCTTACTGAGCCTAGCTCTTCTGCTGTACCCAGAGAGCTGGTACAGTAGAAGAGACACCTGATCAAAAACCAAAGGGATGCAGTTTGAGGAACCTTCATCTCAGAGAAGAGAAAATGCTGGGGTGATTTTATTGTGGGCCTCCAGTACTCAGAGGGGTCCTATAAGAAAGAAAGATGGGGACAGAGTTTTTAGCAAGACTATTTGTGATGATAGATGGGGTGATGGTTTTAAGCTAAAAGAATGTAGATCCAGAGTAGGCATAAGGCAGAAAACTTTTAGGATGAGGATGGCGAGACACAGCGAAGGCACAGCAGCTCCCTGTGCCTGCTCTCTGTGAGGAGCTCCCAGTGCCTCACCACACAGGCAGGACAATGTGCAGTCTGTTTGGGAAGCAGGGCTTTGGAGGCCTAAAACAAACTGTCCCTGGGGCAAGGACAGTGCTGCCCATTCTCTCCCTGGGCAGACGGCCCTGTGGGGACGGCATCTCTTGAGAGCAGCGGTTGGTGAACGAGCTTTTGACCTTTTCAACTTATTGTATTGGTATCTAGCCAAACAATTTGAGTTCATCTGTAGTGTGCAATGCTCAGGAAACAGAGTAATGGCATATATGTTTCCTACCAAGGAATAAACTGCCTTTTGTGGAGGAGTAAATCAGGCCTTTGCTGCTGATGGCCAGATGCCCTCCTGCACTATGCAAGCACTGAGAGGAGCAAAGAAAATCCTAAGGAGGCTCAGAAAGAGGGATGTACAGTTAAAAAATCTTCCATTTTTCTTCCTTGTAGGTCAAAAGTAGATCTTCACAGCATTACTTTGTGGATGAAAACCTGACCCCACTGTAGCAAAGGGTTGACATTGACACCAGCAGGGCCATCTAGTTTGGAGTCTTCTTGAGCTTGAAAGACAAAACCCAAAAGTTTCTCCAGGGATGCTGACTGCCATGTGTCAGCCCCTCTGAATCTTCTGAGGGTAATGAGTCTATGATTCTGTGATCTTCAGGCCAAGATTTCCTCCAGGGATTTGTATATTCCTCCCAGGGGACAGAAGCCCAGACCTGGCCATGGCATGCTGTGTCTGCAGCACCAGTGTCAGCCTGACAAGATGGTCAGGAGGCAAAGTCAATGTCCATGGAAACCTGTTTAAAAAAATTTTACCCCCTACCAAAAAAAAAAAAAAAAAGGAAAGAAAGTAAGAAAGTAGTATTTTCATATTCTAATTATAGTGCTCAAGAAAACATTTGAGTTCAATTAACAGGTACAGTTCCTGTACTTTTCTTTTGGACTTTCTAGGGTTTTTTTCCTTAACTTTTTTTTTTTGTTTGTTTGTTTGTTTTTTTTGTTTTACTGGACTTCCTGTTTGCTTTTTTTTTTTGGAAAAACAGGCTTTTTAGCTACTGGCTGCTTACACATCAACATGGCAGCATGTCTGAGGTCAGATTCCCACTGGCTATAGTCGTCAATACTTACAGTGGCCAATGATCTCTTTCTTCAGAGCTAGGAGATGCTGTTGATGGTCAGCAAAGATATTTGGTAAGACAGAACTTGAATTTCAGAGCTAAAGGAAATAATCCTTCTCTGTAAGGGTGATTAGATTTGTGAGTAGTTGCCCAGAGAGGCTAAGGAATCTCAAAACTTGACTGAACAGAGCCCTGGGCAACCTGCTCAGGCAACCTGAGCAGATTGTTGTACCTGCTGGTCTCCAGAGGTCCCATTCAACCTCACCAACTCCATGATCCAGTGATTTAAAACATCCATCTTTTCATTTGCACAAACCTGGGCTGCCTTTTTAGTGCAGATCCATGTTTCCCTTTGGATCTTTGCCCACCAGCTGCTCACAGCCCTGGAAACTGTGCAGGTGGCTTTGCAGGTGACTGTGCAGAGGTTTGGCAGAAGCTTATCTCACAGGCTGCCCAGCTGCCTGCTTGTTCCATCTTCTCTCAAGATGCTCATCAAGACAGCATTCAGTTTCCCATGAGAGGGTACTCTGCAGGTGGAATGCTTCTTCCCATGTTGATCCTGGGGAAATGTCTCTGTCAACACAGACAAGCTCTCATTATGTGCTTGAGGGACTGGAGTTGCCATTTACAATACAAAGCCTGTTTACAACTTGTATCCTGCTTCCACCTTTCTCTAAACCTTTAGTAGTGCCTAGTCCTTATGATGGATATCTGTACAAGGGTGAATTCCACATAATTTTCCTTCTTTCTTTCTGTTTCTCTCTCTGTTGTGAAAGTCCTCTAGTCCAGTGGCCACTTTTGAGTTATTTGGATGGTACAATATGGTTTGTTGACTGACACATGTATTTATCCAGTCTTTATGTCATATTCCTTCCCCCGAAACTGTGGGACCAAAATTTCTCTTTCTCATAGGAAAAAGGTATAAACTTGACCCACATTGAGTCCCGACCTTCCCGTCTCAACAAAGATGAGTATGAATTCTTCATCAACTTGGAAGGCAAGAATGTCCCAGCACTGGACAAGATCATCAAGTCCTTGAGAAGTGACATTGGAGCAACAGTCCATGAGCTCTCACGAACAAAGAAGAAGGACACTGGTAAGAATGTGCTGACAAGATTACCATTGACATGGACTATTTATGTCTCATACTGAAATAACTTATTTTTCCTGTAGTAAAGGAGTTCCTCTTGGATCTTTCTGGCTACATTTCTCTCTCTGTGTCCTTATTTTTCTTCTACTGTGAACTGTTTTGGAGATTTTCTGTCAGTGTACATTTTTGCCATGATTCTGACTATGTTCCTGGGAAACTAGGGAGGCTCTGCCACCCACTTTGGTGGGAGCAGGACAAACTCTCCATTACTGTAAGAAATCTCAGGGAGGTCAGTTGCAGTTCTGGCTTCAGAGGGGGAAATAAGGAAAGAATTTTTGAGTTGTTCCTGCTTCTACTTCTCAGAGATTTGCTGGAGTTGAGGCTGCTTGGTGCACTGGTGGCTGCCCACAGATAGGCTGAGACAGACTTAAATGCCTCTTCAGATAACAGATGTGATTTTAATAGGATTTCAGACTTTAAATACTTTAGGCCTGGATCTTCCTCTTCCTTCCTAGGAACAACATGAAAGGACATTAATACCTTCTTGAGATCAGTGCTGGTAATCCTTTTACCATTTCCTTTGTGTCCTACCCATGACATTACATTTGAAGATGAAAAAGAAGAAGGCAGATTCTCTTTGGAGTCAGTTTTCTCCATTCATAGACAAAGGGACAAAAGGTTGATTAGGTGATTTATGATCATGTCAGATTGAATAGATTCACTTTTGGGGGCTTTTTTATTTCCACAAGAAAGCTATAGGACCTACTGGGGCTTAACATTAATTTTTCTGGTTACTATGATGAAGATAATGAAGAAGTTTATTAAATAATAAAGTTGTCTATAAACATATGCCAGAGTCAGACAGAGATACAGCTCTAAATATCATCCAGGAAAGTCTTGCATGTGAAATTCTGACCTCACAGAAGTCAAAACTCCTGTGGTCAGCTGTAGGATTAGGATTTCAGTGCATGTTACTGTGTTGATCAAAGGAGTTCTTGAGCTAGATTATCCTGTCAGTGCTTCAAAAAGGGACTTGATCCTCTTCTGTCTGAGAGGATAACTTGTGTGTGTTTGTTTGTTAGTTTCAGCAATTCAGAAATATTATAAAATGGGAAAAATTTATTGCCGAGGAGAGAGAGGAAGATTGATATTTCTTCTTGCCCTTTCTTATTTTTTTTTCAATTTCAACTCCTCTCATGAGTAATAAGGGCCCAATGAAACTGAAATCCTCCAAGGACCATATTTTGAAAGGTCAAACAAGCCCTGTTTAGGGGATGAACTGTGGGTGGCAAATCCTGGGCAGAGGCACTACAAGGGCAGAGTGAGATGGGAACAGCCCGAGCTGTAGGAAGTGTGGTGAGATGCTGTCCTTTATCAGTGATGGCATTAACAAATAACAGGCCTTGTGGTGCATTTTAGGCCAGCTTGTCTTTCAAATGTACCCTCCTGGCAAATCTGGTCAAAGTCCACAGATGTGCCTGTGTGAAATCTTGTTCTCAAAGCACAGAAGAAGAGCACTGTGCCTCCAGGGAGCAAAATCTCAACAGATGGTTTATGTGGATGTTGCCACACTTGTCTCAGTGGGCAGGTAAAGGCTGGGAAGGTTTTCTTCCAGAGGCAATCTGGGATCCCATGGGACTGATTCTTTTGCTGCAGCCTAGGATGCTGTCATTTCTTCCCCACAAATAAGTAATTTTTCTCCTTCTCATGATTTCAGAAAGAAAAACCTTACTTTTCTGTTTCCTGCAGGAGGTACACAGTCCTGTTCTTGGGGCACTACTTTGTGGGCACTCCGAGTAAATTTCTGTATTCTGTCCCTTCTGTATAGCTCAGTGTCAAACACTGTATGTGTGTGATTTATTGGGCAAGGGATAAATGAATGGCTTTTTATTTTTTTTTTTGGGTCACTTAACTAAATGCAACATTTAATTGGTACATTCCAATGGTTACAAATATCAGATTTGGGTCAACAGTGTAGTTTTAGGTGAGAGCAGGCCAGAAAAGTGCTCTAAATCCAAATATAGCTTTGGAGCTTCAGATGACAAGGGCTGGCAGCTGCTGTACGAAAAGCTCTTTGTGTACATGGAAGGATTCATTGTAAAAACACAGTGCATCTCCTAGTGGCTCTTTTTGGAAACAAGATGGTAGCTGCAGTCCACTTGGAGCCCATGAATAAAAATAATTAAATATTATTCTGTTGCAGCATTAGGGAAATGCAGATAATTTATTGCAATTTTGAAACAAGCTGGGAGCTGGGGATCTGTAGGAGCCTTGTTTGCTGGACCCTGAGGCTAGCCAGAGCATTTGAGAGTGTTTTAAAAAGGGCTAAACCTGGGCCTTGAACTGCTATAAATTGCATAGACCTGTCTTTGACCCTCCTCACAATGGCCCAAATGGAGGATTCTGCAGAAGTCCTCGCTGCTCCTGCTTTGCTGCCTCTCATTTAAATGTCTTATTAGCGTTCTGCTCAGCATTTGACCTCACAGTAATTTGGTCACCACTTGGGTGTCCAGCACCATCCCATAAATGCTGCTGTTTCACTTACAGACAAATCAATATTTATTACTGATCAGCCCACGTTTGCTCCCCAGCCCTTCACAGAGGCCCAGTGTTGCAAGAGCTCTCCCTGGCAGTTCATTAATGGCTGTGCAGACAGACAGCCGGTCTGGCGAACGGGCTGGAGGAGGATGTTGCAAACAAAATATGGGATAGATTCAGCCAGGGGGTAATTTGATTTGATCTTTTGAATAGTTTCTGGGAGGGCTGGGGAAAGCATCCTGGCACATTAAATCTAGGCAGAAGACCCACCAGTAGCCTTTTTTCACCCTGGCCCTCGATGTGAAGGCTGTACGGACTAAATGCAGTGTTTGCCCCAGAACTGTTCTCGGAATCTTTGATTCTCATTTCCATGACAGCTAGGAAAGCTCAGCTCTTTCCAGGACCCAGCATAACAACTTATGCTGGTGCAAGCAGCACTAAATCTCCTCGGGATTTCCCTTACACAGCCTACTGCTTTCATCCAACTCTGCTACTGCTTGTGCTTGGGTAGGCAGGATCAGAACTTCATGCCAGGAAGATAAGTTGCTTCTCCTGTTTAGAGAAAGAGCAAGTCACCCATCTCCACACCCAGGGCTGACGTGACGTCAGCCTGGAGTCAGTTTTTCCTTGAGTCTTTAATGAGGTTTGCACCAAGTACAATCTTGAGAATAAAATATTCAATGAAAGTAAGTCAGTATGGAAAGTAAGTCAGCAATGGTTTCAAACCCTGCCCAGACAGACCTTTCGTATTTAGGCCAGCAAAGCCCTACAGATATCACTGTCAAAATCCAGTGCAGACTTCAGCCCCCACCAATTTTCTACACAGCCTGGACCCTTCAGCTCATGGTGCATCCCTGAGAAGAGTGGTTTTCTCTCTTGACACTGTCAAATCCTTTGCTGTGGGGCTGCCAGGCAGCCTTTCCCCCCAGTGCCTAATACAAAACCATTCACCAGTGTGCCTTATCCTAGGCTGGTAGTGTCTGAAGCACAAAACAGTGAAGCAATTCCCCATCACACAAAGCTCAGGGATACAGCCAGGAAATAAACCTAGAGATAAATGGGCAGGACATGGTGTAAGTAGTGACCACTCTCTATAGATCAAACACACCTTTTTCTACTCTCCACTGTGACTAGTTTAAGTGAAGGGGTTGGAAGCGCAGAAAACTTTCTGACAGCGAGGGGAGAGAATATTTCTGGAGCAACTAAGAGAACTAGCAGTACATCCAGCAACGAAGAAACCCATTTGGGGACCTTCCTGGGTCTGCTGCTGCCATCTAGTGACTTGCACAGGTCTGGTTTTTAGGGTAAAGAGAAGCGTGCGCATCCTGGAGAAGGGCGGACCGAATCCCACTTCTGCCGGGCGGGAGAAGGGGAGGCACCGCCAGGGTACCTCTGAGAGCCGCGGCGGGTCCCTGCATCCCGGGAAGCTCCGGCATCCCGGCATCTTCTTGGCCAGCAGCCGCCTGTTGCAAACGAATGTGGAGGCTCCCAGCATGGAGCCAGCTGGTGATGGGACAGCAGTCCGAGGAGTGGGCACTCTCACTCTCTGCCCGGGGCTGAGCAGCGGTCCCCAATGCGAGCCCTGTAAAGCTGCTGTTGCTGGCTCGCAGAAACCCAGAGCTGTGAGGATCGGCACAAAGCACGACTGGAGACAGAGATCCTCTTATCCTGCAGGTGGTCCATCAGGTCTGGGATGAGCCCCATCACCAAGGCACTGCAGGGAGCTCATACAGCAGCTGCTGGCCGAGGATCAGGTTCACTTGCCACAGCCCCCAAAATAAGATGGGGCGGTATGGCCCAGCAGCAGAGCTCCCAGCTGAGCAGAGAGCCACAAAGGGAATCAGCTGTTCTCCAAACACTGGCTGAGCACCCATTTGTACAAGAAAGTCCCTCGATGAGTTGCGATCTTGTTACTGATAAAGGCTGCCCCTGTTCAGTCTTTGTATTGAGTTGCCATGAAGATGCATGACTTACTCTTCTTTTATTTCAACACATGAGATCTGGAAATCCCTGTGATTCTTCTTTGTCCTTCACCTTATGTTTTTTGTAATGAGAGGGTCACATGGACATTACGCTCTGTGTGGTCAGCATGGTCCCTTCTCCCATGCTGGCTGTGGCTGAGACAGTGTGTGTCGAATATGAGTTACAAGGCAATAGAGCACCAGACCAAGAAAGTTAAGTTAATGCATTATTGTGCAGTGACTGCAGTGATGCAGTGCTAGTCTGAGGTATTAGGATGCCATTTGTCATTTTGTTTCAGAATCCTAGCTCAAGTGGGGTCACCAAGTAGGTCTTAGAGTGTTTCAGACAGTCCAAAAATTCTTTATCCTTATTGTGGAGTTTCTTGTGTTTCCTTTGAAGGGGATGATTCTGGCTTATTGTGAAAGTTTTCTCCATTTTGATAAGCCAAGACACCAGAAGTAATAAACAGAAAATCATAAACATTACCAGCCAGCTCTGCGCCGAGGTTCAGATGCTCTTGATGTTCTGTATTCTTCCAACAGTGTGAAAGAATCACAAATTCAAGACAACTTTCTTGGTTTGCTCTTGTTGCCTACTATGGGGAAAAGGATAGAAAGAATTTAACCCCTTGCCTACATTTCTTTATGATGAAAAGATGAAAATGTTAGAAGAAGGCCAAAAATCAAGTAACAAAGAAGGATACCAGTCTCTATTTCTTTTCTGTTTTGCAGTACCGTGGTTCCCAAGAAGTATCCAGGAGCTGGACAGGTTTGCCAATCAGATCCTAAGCTATGGAGCAGAATTGGATGCTGATCATCCTGTAAGAATTATTTTTAACATTTTTCCTAGTTATTGGAACTGATGTTTCTCTAATTTAAATTTGCTCTCTTTTGGTACAGATCTAGTAGATTAAATCTCACATGGTACAGGACAAGAAGGCCTACCACATTTCTAGGATTATAATCAGCCCAATCCCTGGTTATGGAGTAAATCAAACCAAAGTTTGCTACTTTTTTTTTTGAGTAAATGCCAGGAGATCTTAAAAGTTGTAGTGATTTTCAGAGCACAGGGCTACCCGAGGACACATCTAATCTTCCCAGGAGGTTCTGATGTAGTGATTTCAGGCTCACTTTGTGTTTCACTAACAAGAAAAAGAAGCAACATATCATAGCCCAGAGAAAGACTTTTTTTGTCCTTGATTACCTACACATGATTTATCTCAGTGTATTGTTATGTGGGTGCTAAATCTGACATGGTACTTTTATGGTGAGACGTGACAAAAAAAAAGATTCTTGGTTCCAAAAGTTTATGGTTTAAATGGTAGCATCAGAAAGTTTTGTTCATTGACTTAGCTGATAAAAAAATTGTTTTGCATCTTTTCAGTTTTGTTCAGATACAAGAATATTTTCTGCCTCTATTCCCTCTCCAAGCCAACAACTACTTACTTTCATTTGTCAAAACACACTGAGTTCCATGCAGTGCACCAGAAATTGCTGCTATTAGTTTAATTGAGATAGGGTGATTATAAATAAATTACATGCAGTGCACCAAAAATTGCTGCTATTAGTTTAATTGAGATGGGGTGATTAGTCATTCACTACCTATTGCTTAATTCAAGACGTGTTATGTACCATGTACAATGATTCATGATGTTCACTGTGGTCATATGAGAGGCAGAATGAAAGGAGGTACACTGAGCCAATGGCCTCCTTGTGTGTCATGTGGGAATAGACCAAGATTGTATTTGAAAAAAGAACAAGAAAAAGAAAAGAAAAATATATAAAAAGGAATGAAGCGTCTCTCCTCCAGTTCATAGAATTAGTTAGTGAGTTTTTCCTTAAAAAAGAAAGCCAGCTGCTGGGGTAAATAGGTGACAGTCCATAGAGTGCAGAAAAAGAGAGATTAAAGGAGCCTCTGTTTTTAGTAGTTAAGTGATGTATGGAATTTAATCACAATGGCCTCCATGACAGGTTAACCTTGGACAGTACATTTTTTTTGCCATTTGCTACCTCTTTTTAATTCACACTCGAATTTACACTCCACTTCAGCTGACTCCTGTACTTGGCTGTGTTTTGTGGCCCACACAGTCCAGTTGTGCCATTGACCACTAAGAGATGCATTTATGGGCTGCTGCAGTGCCCAGGGAGCTGTTCCTCATTGCCCTACAGAAAGGCATCCCAGCTTGGAAGGAGGGTGTTTCTGCACCCCAGGTGGTGAAGGCACTCCTGGTCCTGAGGATCTTTTAGTCTAAACAGCAGGCACACTGGATGGGAGAATGGTTATCCCAGATGAAGATTTAGAGGTTTTATTTCTTATCCTTGGTTTTATTGCTAATTAGCTGCAAAGGTCAAGCCTACAGCCACAAGGTCTGTTAGACATTCTTTGTAGTCATTAATTGCCCTCAAATGGTTGAATTTGTACTACAAATAGGGTTTTTTCGCCTGCTAAGTGGATGCTGATCCTCTATCAGTTTGAAAATGAGCACTTTTAAATGTGGTTCATTCTGAAAATCTGCCTAAAAGGTCGGATAGAGTTGATGAATGTGTTTCTAATGTGTTTTGATTCTGTTTCTCTAGAGCAGCCCAGCTGTGCCAGGGACAGCAACAAGCTTCAAGGGAAACCAGAAGGGCATGGTTATCCAAGTACTGATAATTCTGGGTTGCTCTTGCCAGGAGCACCTTGTTGCTGCTGTAAAGGAACAAGTTCCCCTATCTTATGGGAAATGGAAATGAGAAAAAGAAAGGACTTGGGGGGCAGGGGTGGTGAGGGACTGTGGCTGAGCGGCTGCTCGGTGGCTCTGCAGCCCAGGAAGGAGCGCTGCCCTGGCTGAGTGGAGCCTGGCAGAAAGGAGGCAGCTTTCCCACCAACCTTGCTGCATTTCTTGGATGCACCAGCCATGCCTGAGGGTGCTCACAGGGAGGAAGGCTCTTCACCTTTTGCACTTACTGACCATTTGCGTGGACTGACCACTGCTGTTTCTCTTCAGGGGTTCAAAGATCCTGTGTACCGGGCCCGGAGGAAGGAGTTTGCAGATATTGCCTACAACTACAGACAGTGAGTACCCACTGCATGAGAGCAAAGAAAACCCTCATCTCCTGCCCTCTCTAGGATGCTCATCCTGCTGGCTATCCCTGCTTTTCCAGAAGCATCTTCCCGCTCTTGGCTTTTCTCTTTTAAATCTTCCTGTTCATGCATTTATCCCCAGATTGCAGCAAAACAAAGGTAAATTGTTCCAGGCACACGTTCAGAAGAGATATCATCTCCCTTCTCTCCACACAAGACCCCTCTTTCCCAGCTTTGTTGTCTAATTGAGCAGCAGAACTGTTGCTGCTACAAAGACCTGAGCATTGAATAAATCTGGTATTCCCCATTAAACCAGGGCTGGGGGAGGAGTGCCTATCATTAACATTAAAGCAGGATCTGCATACACTATTAAAATAATGAATAACATATGGTTCTGATGCTAATCCAGTGTCTGTTACCCTACTTTTATCATGTCTAATCCTGCTGCAATCAGCAATTTAGGCTTTCATTTCCCAAGAAAAATAAATTAATAGAGATGATAAATTCAGTTAGAACAGGCTTATTTGATTGCCATCAATAATCAGATCTGGAGGAGAAAAAAATCTGTTCCCGGAGACACTCATGTAGTCCAATCATATAGATTGGTACTACTGGGCTTGATTCTTGCTGGGATTGGTAAAAACTGTGCAAAGAAAAATTAACATATATTGTAAATATTGGGCTACAATTTGCACAGGATCAAAAGATAGCCCCTGAGCCAAAGAGCTAATACTGTAATCACAAAAGGGGAGAGAAAATGGGACTGGTTGATGGAAAGTATAAAATGTCAGGTGAAAAAAGTCAGAAACCCAGTTTATCACTAGAAAATTTGGATAAGATATTTGTGTCCAGACGTGAACAGCTCTAATGTCCATCACAGAAGATGCAGAGAAATGGACAGGAGGAGAGGCGCAACCAAAATTATCAGGCTTCACTGAAAAGGAAAGGGTTCTTAGGTTGTGAAGGTGCTACCCAGCTGCAACACTGAGATGGATCAGTGGTTGCTTTCCTTGTGTCCTTCCAAACATGAATTTCATCCTTTTCTGTATCCCTTCTTTTGCATCTGTACTGTCCTCTTTCTTTGTGCTGTTTGCCTCTACTTTGCCTTTGCTTTTCTGCCTCCTCTCATGATAGATTTACCCATTGTCTTTGTTGAATGCTTGATTTCCCTGACTTCTCTTCTCTTTGCTTTTAGCTTGCCTCTTCCCTCTGCCTTACTTTGCTTCTGGCCCCATTGATCCCTTGAATATTTTTTTAATTGCAATTTGAAAGGTTTTTAAGCCATAGCTTCCCCCAGTAGTCCTGGAAGGTGGTTGAGGATTATTTAGGAGTCCTATAGGAACAAAAATCACCCAGCAATGCTCATAATTCAACATGATGTTTAAAGCTCCACAGATCAAGGAGAGCTGATACAGAGAGACAGAAAGTGATGGTTCTCCAGAGGAGCTGCCCTGAGGCTCAAGAAAAAAATGAGAAAGTGGGAGATGGTGGGGTGTCATCAAGAGTTTAACAATGGGTCTCTGGGGCTTGGAAAGCTTCAGCATTGTTCCAGCAGTGTTGTTAACCCTATTAAGTTCCTTAAACCCCTTTGATTTTTCAAAGCTGTTGGATTCACCTATGGCCTTAACATTATTGCTAAGGAATTGGTTATTCACAGGCGGCCAAACTGCATTGCTTGTGGTGTATAACTCCTGTTAGTCTCAATATGAGCTAAGGACGTGGAGGCCCGAGGGTGGGATTTAACTCATAATTGCTCCTTACAATTATAAAAAGTCAAACTGGCTGGAGTCTGCATCTGTTACAGCACAGAGCACAGATCAGAATTTCTCTGCCACTGCAACAGAGTTTTATGGAGCTGATGGTTTCATGTTTTTACAAAAAAACATTAATATAATGCTCACTAGAGCAAGAAGTAAAACAGTTCCTTCATATCAAGAAAGAAAAAACAAATTGAAACCTACAGCAAACAAGTATTTTTAGGACAACACCTTTAAAAGACAATAATAGGCACTGATTTCTTTTTAACATAATCATGCAAGAAGCTGTCTAAAGGCCATTATCTCAGCCAAGGTCGGTTGAGTCCTTTCCTGCCAGTGCCTAAGGACAAGTGAGGCTCCTTTTGTATCTGTGTGCCAGCCCAAAAACATCTCCCCTCCTGCACCAGCAGCTCCTGGCCAGTCCTAGTAAAGCTGCAACATGAAGTAGAATAAGAAAACTGTTTTGAAAATGGCAAGTAGGAAAGGACAAAGAGCATGTTGATGGCATAGGACATTTTATGTGGCTGCTATTGAGGGTGTCCATTTTCTTTCTAGTGGCCAACCTATTCCTCGTGTCACCTATACAGAAGAAGAAAAGAAAACGTGGGGTACTGTCTTCAGGGAGCTGAAGAGTCTGTATCCAACTCATGCTTGCTATGAACACAACCATGTGTTCCCACTGCTGGAGAAGTACTGTGGCTACAGGGAGGACAATATTCCCCAGCTTGAAGATATTTCAAATTTCTTGCAGAGTAAGTTTGAAGCACCTAAAAGAACCAAATGAAAGGAAAAACCACAGCTATCAGAGGAAGTGGTGCTTCCACAGAAGGAAGAGCAATCCCTGATTTTATCAGAGACTCCCTGTGATGTTTGGGCACATCACTTAGCCTGTGTCCCAGGTCCTTCTCTAATGCTTCTGGGGGTGCAATGGGGCAGATGCTCAGATACTGTGCTGGTGGTATACCTGGGAAGAAAGTTGCCTGCAATTAAACTCTATATAACATAAGGAGATTAAAAATTTAAAGGAAAACCCCAACCATCAACAAACTTTTCCCAATGTAAGGAGTCTGGATAAGGATAAATCAAACCCATCAGCTGTTTTTAAGATGCTGTCTTTCTGTCCCTTCAGGCTGCACTGGGTTTCGGCTGCGGCCCGTTGCAGGCTTGCTCTCCTCGCGGGATTTCCTGGCTGGGCTGGCGTTCCGAGTGTTCCACTCCACGCAGTACATCCGCCACGCCTCCAAGCCCATGTACACCCCGGAGCCGTGAGTACTCTGGCACACCAACAGCAGGGTCAGTCCAGCTGGGAATAACTGCCTGGGACTCTGCAGCACTCCTGGGAACAGGGCTAAGGGAGAGCAGCCAAGGGACTGCTCTCTTTTGGGAACATTTATGGAGTCTGTCTGTTAACAATCTGCATTCACTTCTGCAAGTTCTCCCGGGGCAGATGAGATAGTTTTGCTACTGAAGGCCTGCTTGTGTGGTGTCTAGGATGCAAGAGAGTAGTGTACAAGGGCACTTAGCTAAGCCATTAGCACCCAAGTAGTGCAGCAAGGACTCAGCCTGTTGTTCTGAGTACAGAAGCAAGCTTCTGGCAGTAAGATAGGAGAATCCCAGACCATCTCTTTTTCATTTTGGAGTGTTTCTCTCTGTTTCTGTCCATTGCCTTTTCCACTTGCCATTTTAATACCGGATTTCTTATTCTGTTTCATATTGTTGCTAATCTTTCTGGGTGTTTTTTTTTTGCTTCCTAATTTCCACAAACTCTTTTTGCTTTCCTTTTTCTATTTTTGATTCTTCTGATTTTCTTTCCTGCTTTTGTTTACCCCATTGTCGTCATGCCAGGCTGAAATGTCTTCCACAGACTTTTTTCTTCAAATAAGTCTTCCAGGCCTTTTTTGGACATCTTATCCCCTTCCTCTTTCCATCTCACCAAATCACTTCTCTGTATTTGAAAAATCTAACAGTCCCTGCTGCTGAGGGATGTATGATGCAAAAGCACAGAAAACCCTGGGGTTTGCAAACATTTCCACCACAAGAATAATTTCAGAGCAAAATATTTTCCTGTGAACAATATGTGTAGGTAGGAGCAAATGCACTGCACTCTTGACTGTGTGCTGGCTCTAGGGCATTCTTTCAGCATTGCTGGACTTTTCCTGAATCACAATTACTCAGCTGTCATGTTTTCTTGCAGTGATATTTGTCATGAGCTGCTAGGACACGTGCCTCTTTTTGCTGATCCCAGTTTTGCTCAGTTTTCCCAGGTAAGTTATTCAGTGGTTATAGTATTTATATAATTAAACACAGTAATTCAGTGGATGATCCAAGAGCTGTGGAGGGTGGTGCAGATTCACCTTTGAGCATACTGCATAAGCGTGGCTGAAGTGGTTTATTTATTGCTTGAAATCTGGACACAATTCACATAATCATAAAGTCCAACTCCAAACATGATCTTGTGTGAGCTGCTTTTTGACAGACCCTGTGAAGCCATCACTTTAAAGCCTTCCTGCAGATGTTGATCCTTCTGAGTGAAGTCATATAGTTCATGAGTCAGATGGATTATTACCTCACCACAATATTCAAATGTTAGGGAAAGTGGAGATTTTCTTTTCTTTTCATATTGAAGTGACATTGTGGGCTGAGTAAAGTAAGGAACTGTCTCAGCTGTAAGCATGGGAGAAGGCTGGAGAGGAGATTTGTTTTTGGTAGTGTTAATGTCCCTGGAAAAGAAGCCAAACCCTGGTGAAGCAGTAAACCTTTGGCTGCATCCTACCAGAAAACGTGGAAATACACAAAGAGAGAAAGGCATAAAGACAGAGTGAGGCAGGAAAGGAAAGTGAAAGAAAAGATGGATCTCAAAAGACAAAAGTCAGTTTGATCTACTTAGTAACTTTTAAGTATTGCCTTTAGGCTTTGGCCTTTCCCAGAACTGGTGTTTCCTTCCAGATGAGCCCTACTGTACCTTAGCTTCCTAGGATTTGACATGGTGATAAGCTGCTGTAATGCCTTTGCTGTGTTGGGGCTGGGGAGCTGATTTTTTGCACTATGCAGTCCTCACTAGAGCAAATCAAGCAAGGAACCTGGCTATATTAGTCTCACATGTCTGTTTTTTGAATCCAGCCATTGCATACATCCTGGAAAAATCTCCAAGGTATGAATAAGCTCTTTCAAATCATGCCTTGTCATTCAGAAAAAAATAGCTCATTCAAGGTTCCAGGAAAACTTCTTTAATCAGGACCCATCAAAACAAAGAGAAATATATAAGGTGTGTAGGTGTGATTGATTTGCCTCCTTTTGTCCCTATCATTCTCTCAGATGTTCATTGTAGAATTGATCAAAAGCCTGTCAAAGCAAGAGGAAAATTTTATTTGACCTCAATGGGCTTTGTACCAGGCACAAAGGATCATGCCTTGTAAATGACATTTGGACAAGACCCTTTGTTCATTTTTGGAGAGATTTCTGGTTTAAAATTGATCTTGCATGATAGGAACATGTCCTGTAAACATTTGTGTGTGGTAGTAAGCTGTGGTAACATTTAAAATGTGAGCAATTACATAAGAGGGGGCAGGAAGAATGTTTGCAATAAACAGCTTGAAGAATAATGGTTTATTGTTACAGGAAATTGGACTGGCATCTCTGGGAGCTCCAGATGATTTCATCGAGAAACTTGCTACGGTAATTTAATAAATGAGGGCTCAATTTTCCAAAGCGCCCTGTGTTGTCTTAATTCTGCTGCCACTGAAGTCACTGGTAGAACTCCCATAGAGCTGAATGGGATCAGAGTGAAGGCTGTGATTGGAAAACCCTACCCCGAAACAGTTGCAGTAAAGGAAAATAGCTTTGGCACTCTTTATTCAAAGTGACAGTTGTGATTAAACACAGAAGCCCAAACAAGATTTCCTCCAGCACAAACATATTGGGCAAGAAGAGATTATATGTTGCTTCATCCCCACAGGAAATTTCAAGAGGCAGCTTCTGTAGTTGTTTCACCTTCAAGCATCTCTTCCAGTCAGGCACTATCCTCTGTAGTCAGCATAGATCACCTGGATAGCTACTCTGAGACTACTGAGACCCAGAGCTGCAAATTTTGAATAAAACTGGGGGTATTACTCTGAGATTAGAGCCCCCAGTGCCAAATGCAGGCCACCTGGGCAAAGAATTCCACCAGCTTTGACACTGCTGATAGATGGGATAGTTTTTTCTGAGCCAGGGCAGGTATCCCTTCAAAAGGACAGACCCAGGAGTCAAATTTGGTCACTCTCCATCTTCCTTTCTTATTGCAGCAACAGCCTGATCATGCTGCTGCTGCAGTCAGATGCCCTGTGTGAAGCAGGACTCAAACTTTTCTAAAATAAGATTCAAACTTCCACTGGGTTGGCCAGCCGAAATAAAGCTTTATTGCTATGATTTCATTGCTCCTGCTGACAAAGATAAGCACAGTAAAACACAACCTTGTTTGTCATGGAACCAAACTGATTCTCAGGTAGAGAGAAACTAGTGCTGTGCTTCTCCCAGGAGAAGAATTTCAGTCTGAAGGGACATTTATTGCATTTATACACTTGAATTTGACACACAACATCATCTTATATAGAAATGAGAACTCTAAATGTATTCAAATAAATGGTGTACATATATTACTTTTTATCAAGTAATTATAAGTTTCTGTCTCATTTTCTTTCCAGGTTTATTGGTTTACAGTTGAGTTTGGACTTTGTAAGGAAGGAGATTCCCTCAAGGCTTATGGTGCAGGGCTGCTGTCTTCATTTGGGGAGCTGCAGGTGTGTTCTAGAAAATATTTCCAATATGTTTATAATTATTCAAATTCCTTTTCTGAATGTCTTTGGATCTTTGGTTTTGCTTCATACTTTATGAAGTAGGATGAAATGTAGTACTGCATTGTAGAGCTCTGATAAATGTGTAGGTGTACGGAGACATGGAACTCACACCTCCTTCTTTCCGAGTAAGTGACATTATCACTGTATACCACAGGAGCAACTCTTCCCTGTCTTAAATTGAGTTGCTCTTTATTTATTTCAGAGAATGTTCAAACACTCTTACACTGAAATAAATCTCTTACCTTTTTGTTCATAGTATTGTTTATCAAGTAAGCCTGAGATTCAGCCTCTTGTCCTGGAGAAGACTTCTGTGCAGAAGTACTGTGTTACTGAGTTCCAGCCTATCTACTATGTTGCTGAAAGTTTTAAAGATGCAAAAGAAAAGCTAAGGTACTCCAGTCATTCCAGAGAATAACCTATTCTTGCCTATTGCAATTACAGTGGATCTCATTGCCATAAAGGCTCTTGGGTTGACAATCATGTTTTGAGAGGCATTAGAAAAATCTGTGCAATGCTTAAAAATAATAAACATTTCATATCCTCAGAATCTTAGGCAAAAATGAGTAGTAACATTAATATACCTTATGCATGAAACCAAGAATTTGTGCTTAGTGTAATTAAGAGTTTAATTTGTCTAACCAAAATGCAACAAAAAAATGTATCTGTTCAATTGCAGTGATACTGATATTTAAAGTCAAATCTGGCTAATTAATGGAAACCAGGTAACTTTACCATTTCTAGAATTACCAGTTATTGGAAAAAAAAAACAAACTCATATCTACTCCTTTTCCTCTGAAATTATGTCCAGGTTCAGTTCTGATTCTTGGAACAGGAATGGCTCAGCCTGTGTTGGGGTTCAGCTTGGTTTTCACCTTGACAGCATTTCTATTTCTGTTAAAACACCAATGCACTACCATGTTTCTGAGTGTTGGTCAAGCCACTGGGGGCTAACCTTAGTTCACACTCAACTTATTTTTCACTTGGAGATGCCACACATAGCCTTGTCCCAGACCTGCAGTCTTTTCTCTTTCTACCATTCAAAGATAAATTGTTCTGCATCCCAAGATATTCTGTTACCTCAGGCTCCCCAGATCCGAGGTCTTCCTAGCTCTCTCCACTTCTGCTTTTTTAGTTGCCATAAGTCTGCAGCTTTTCTCTAGGGAAATACCTGGATGGCCTTCTCTTCTGGGCTGTGCTATTAATATCCTGTACACAGTTTCTGCCTTCTCTGCATGCATCCCTGAGTAGCAAGCTCCTTGAGGAAGTGGAAAATGCTACCTCATTTAGCTGCAACAAAATATCTTGGAACTTTTTTTATTTGCTTCAGCGACCAAATTGAAAAAAGCAGTTAAATTGAAATAGAAGTTCTGGTTTTTAGTCCAATGCCTGTGTTAGAGGCTTGCATCTGGACATGTGTGTTTGTGGGTAACAGAATACCTTTCAGAAAAATTATTCTGAGACTGACAGCTTAAGGCATTCATTTTCTAATTGGGATCTTACCTTCAACTGAGATTTAGGAAAACCATCTTCTAATGTGATCTCTCCTCTTAGAAAAATGAGACCAATGCTGCTAAATTCATCATAACCAACATAATATTTTTTCACTGTCACACCTTGTGGCCTGTTCATACTGAGTTCTGTTTGAGACAATGTCCTTAATAAGGTTTAAACTGAAGAAGCTTTGTTGGGGTGGCATCCAGCATATTCCACTGTTCTGGGTGTATGGGATTTACCCTGCTGAGTCACAGTCTGTATAGTGGGGCTCCACAATCAACTCCTGCGTGCTTCCCTTCCTCTTTCTGCAATAACTTCAGTAATCCAAAGCAGATATATAAACCAGTATCCTGCTGGGGTCCACAAGGAGCCTGGAACAATAGCTCTGACCATCTCATCCCATTCAGAGCCCTTCTTTCTGCAGTTCTGTGGTTATGCAAATTAATATTTTCCCAAGACACCATAATTTGAATACTTCTGACATGGAATTAACTATTTTACAACAGAGAATGCTGCTTCACTCAATGAACTATCATCTAGCTCTTGAATTACCTGAAAACTACGAGGTAATTTAAGAGCTAGACCATGCCAGAAGTTAGGTGTTTAGTTAGTTGCTCTTTGGCATGCCAGGATGATGTAGATCCTTGACCTTAATTCCCCAGAAACTCAGACTTGGATTAGAATTCCTACCTTTTGCACTAATGAAAGGAAAATGAGGTGTTCAAGCTTGGCAGATTCCAGTTTCGACATAGTTGGCCTATACCAGGAGCAGTGTTGCCATGCCAATAGCTTAGTTAGTCCTGTTCAGAAAAAAACAGAGGTGATAAGGACAAATGCCATTTCAAGTGTGTTGCAGAACATTGTAGGTCTCAGGTCAATCAGTAGGAATTTCTGTTATTTCCTCCCATAGATTTTCTTATCCCCACAATCAACAAATGCACACATCAAGAAATAAGTCCATTAAAAAAAAATTAAACTGTACATTTTTTTTGCTTTTTCCCTCAGGAAATTTGCTCAAACAATCCCTCGTCCTTTCTCTGTTCGGTACAATCCCTACACACAGAGGATTGAAGTTTTGGACAATGCAAAGCAGCTGAAGAACTTAGCTGACACGATCAATAGTAAGGAATTGTACACTTGTTACCTTGAATTCCTCAAAACTTGGGTCAGAAATAGGAGCCACAAGGCGGATTCCATCTGGTTGCATTTAATGCTCTGAGCCTATCCAAGATAAGGCAGCACACATCTCCTTCCTCATGAAAAAATTACTTCCCAATTCTAGCCAAGCTTCAAAAAGCATTTCCACTTTGCTGCAACTTGCTAAATCTGAAAAACCCAGTTTTGGGGTAGATGCTAGGAAATGGCAGATGGCCTTGAGGTGGATCCTAGCTGTTTCAAGTAAGGAAGTGAAGGAGAAGATGTCTTTGATCACATTTTCCCCCTCACATTGGCTAGCCTGCTGTGAGCCAGCTCCTCTGATCTTGTGAGCCAGCCTTCTATGGGAAATGAAGGCAAAGGGGTGACACTGCAAACCTACCTCCAGTAAGACCCTAATAAACGTGTCCAGTTTAGCACTTCAGTGCTCACCTTATTCTTTAAGAGATTGGATATAAAGGGTAAAAAACATACAGGAGCGTTAGAAGTGGGCTAGTTCTGGAATTAACTGCTCTAATTATTTCCTTTGCAGGTGAGATTGGGATCCTTTGCAATGCCCTCCAGAAGATCAAATGAAGATTTGCTGTAACTTGCTAGTGACTAGAAGCTATCATGTGCAAATGCCAGTCTTGATCTAGCCTCAGCATATTATCTTCTGGTGAACTGCATCAATAATTATGTTATATATCTTAATTATTAGAGATTAGCAGATAAACAGACATCTATAGATGACCCTCAACTCTTTTGGCCTTCAGACACTAATCCATTTTTTTCTTACTAATGTATAAAAATTACCTTATTCCTGGGAACCTGGGGGAAGTCTGTACATGTTTTGTGCCAAAGGTTAACAGAAGGAGATCTTTACCACGCAGAGCATAATCTGCTGCTCCTGTGAGGTCTGGGACCAGGGATGGGACGTCAATGGTGAACAGAATGATCCACCTTGCCTTCTCCCACAGTCACTCTCCACTCAGTGCCTCCTGCCTCCCAGTTTTCCAAGGTTCCCATTGAGTCTGGCACTCTACACCTTTCAGGGTATGCAGGGGAGATTTCTCTCAACAGGCATACTCAACAACTCACAGTGGATGGCTGATGTGAGAAGGCTATATTTTCTTTGTGTGTGTCCTTCCCTGAGAGGTGTATCTTAATTTTCTGGTCTCACAACCTAGAAGGTGGATACCAGCACCTTGGAAATGGAGAGGAAGTGCCTGTTACAATTAAGCTGAAGCTCCTAACTCACTGTATCTTGGCTTGAGTCCCCAGCAAAGCCATGGAAAGCCTGGGTCAGCTGTGTCCCAGTCTAACTGCATTCAAACCCAAACATGTTATCTTTCAAGACAGGTCCTAAGTAACAACACCTTTTTGTATGTCCACTGCCCATTTCCTGGAGTATATCTCAGCTGAATCACAAAATGGAACCAAAGGTGGCTCCAGCTTAACTCAGTGGCTGAACATGGAGAGAGAAGAGTTTTGCTGTTCAGGAAGCTGTTTCTGTATTTAACCAATAAATTTCACTCAAATCAGCTAATTGCACTTTTGGACTGGTCCACATTATATAGTGCCTCCTGGTTGAAGGAGGGAACTCAGCATTGGATCATTGGAGCAGAATGGAGCAAAGCAAAACTGAACTGCATTTCCAGCCTCAAGTAATTTTGCATCATGACACTTAACATGGCTTGGGGTCACATTTCTCTTAGAAGATTGAAAAATGGAGAGGGATTTGAAAGCCCATGAGTCTCATACCTTTATTAGTATTAATTTTGGATTTATAGTTTGAAAATCAATACTGCTTTAATGTAAGCATCATCCTTTAGGAAGATAGAAGGTACAGTTCTTTTCCTTATATATATGGTGTGTAATAACATTAATTTAGGGATACCAGCTGGAACCCTTTTCAATAGACATATATTTATGCAAAATGGTATCATTTTGGTGCTTTGAAGTATCCTTTTTTATCTCAGTATCTTTTTATTCCTTTTTTTCTCATCACAATGTCTCCCTAGATCTTTCAAACACACTTGACATGTATTTTCAGTGTAAAAGTAGCCCATATTTTTATCTCTTAATATAATAGAACCTCTGAGGTAACTGTATGCTACAAAGAGGCAATTTCATCCCAAGGGTAAAGTCTTTCAAACTAATCCTCAGAGAGCTTTCCAAGCTCCTCTGCTTCTGGCTTAAATGACAGCAGCAGTAGTTCTATAGTGATATTGAGAGCTCAGGATTCATTATTTTCTTTTATGTGCAAGTGGAATAGTTAGAGAATATTGATGCCACATTTCTGATTCTCTGTCCCTTAATGCAGGTTTAAATGAGCAATAGCTCCAGCCAAAGCAGCATAGCATGGCTGCTCAGCAAGACAGATGAGAAAAAAATAAATATTCAGTATTTTAAAAGCAGAGGAAATGTATGGAAAGTAGATTTTCTTGCAGAACAAATAATCTTGTACCTAAGTACTTTAAATACTACAAATAAATCACATTTTAAATAGTACTCCTTAATGGGTGACTTCTTATTTCCATGGTTAAAGAAAGTTCCAGCTGTGTAGGAAATCAGTGTAAATCCTCCTTGTATGGTAAGCATCCAAGTCAAAAAGAATTAAATACCCAGGTAGGAGGGAATGCCCATCTGAGGTGCTCCCCAAAACAAAAAAAGGCTCCCTTGACTGTCACTCATCCAGCCAAGATTATGAGATTGATATAAACGCTTCCTGATGTGTGCCATTACTTAGAAATGCATAGCCAAGCCCAGCTTGCTCTACATTTGCATACTCCATTAGTCTTTGGGTGCTACTCTGACTAACCTACCCCAAGTTAATCTTTTCGGTAACCTTCTCACTTCTACCCCACTATGATCACATTTCTTGGTACCCTCATCTCCAGCTCAGGTGATCAAACAAGCTTTTTTTGAGGCCCTTTCCTTTATGTTGACCTTGGCCCAGGTCAATGTTTATGATGGAGGACACCAGTCTGCACTGGTGGACTCCTCTGGGTGTCTTAAGATGCCTACATCTGACAGCAGCCTTGGAAAGATATTTTAGTCCCCAGAGAATGCAGAAATAGTTGGAAAAGAGACTAAGCACAGCAGCAGCCCACAGGAATGCATTATTTTTAAACCTCCCTCTGCTTCTTCAAACCATGCTGACAGCTGTCAGAGATAACATTTTGATGTTCAGGTGTAACCATCTAAATTAACTTAAATAAACAAAAAATATTAATGCTGCATCTATCTCAAATGAGTGGCGCTCTGCTCATACAGGATAAAGATGGTACCAGGTTAAAAAAGGGCAGGTTGTTTGTGGTGATCAGACCTGGCCTTCTTCTCCTGTGCCCAGCCTTGCCACCACTGCTGGGGGAATGTGGAATGGGGGAGTGAGAAGAGCTTTTGTTCCTCTTAAAGCCCATTTCTACACCCAGCTAGCTCAGTTGCAGCTGCCATTCAAGCACCTCTGAGGTGCCCCCTTGCCCTCCTGGAGTCACCTGGGACAGAAGCCAGGCCTGGAGGGTGCTGCAGTGTGCAGGAGGGATGGGTTCTGCATCAGTGGTGGGTTCTACATGGCAAACAGTGGCCTGCCCCATGGCCCCTGGGCATGGCTGGGACACCCCCCTTCCCAGGCTGGCCCTCACCACACCCTGCAAATCCCACTGTGCCTGATGTCTGGAGGAGCCAACATTCCTTGGGGTGCTGAGACCTCCCTCTTGGGCACAGTGCTGCAAAATTCACCTTGGGTTTGTCTGTCAGCAGGGAAATAGATGAGGAAATCAAGATCTTCCCAGTGCTCTGTCTTGACCCAAGGGAAGACATGGTGCTGTCGTGATCCCTAGAGAACAAAATTTTGTTTATATTCCCTGGCCAGGGAAGAGGTAAGAGCACGATAACACTTAGGGGTGTGGCTGAGGCACGATAAACTAAGGGACACATAAAAAATGGCTCTATCTGCAAAGGGAGGCCAGGGGGTGGTCTTATCTCTGGACCTGCAGGATGACCTTCACAGGGGGTCTGGCACACTGTAACTTGAAGTATGAAGATATGGGTCTCATATCTAGAAATAATTTTTTGATGCCAAGTGTAAGAACAGGGAAGATGTGCCTGCCCTGTCGGGCACAGAGTTAAATCCCCCTGGAACTTATCCTGCCACCCACAAGAAAGATGTGACCCTGGTCTTGAGAGCCTATTTCACTGGAGAAAAAATCATGACAGAAATAAGTTCCAACGGAGGAACATAGCCTGGAGGCAGCACTCCTCTCTTGGAGGGGTAGGATAGAGCAGGTTCATATCCTGCGGGTAGGAAAAGTTCAGAAGTAGGCAATGGATTCTGACTCTGGCTGAGGTATCTCTGACACTCCCAGAATTGTGTCTGTGCAGAGGAGACAGCACCTAGATTGGGCTAGGATTTGGGAGAAGAGCCCACTGGGGATACAGGCAATACAGAGAGAGTGCCATTGAGGTAAGAGAGTGAGGATGAAGGACAGCCTCAGACACTGTGCAGGTCAGTCCAGACTGGGAGATGTAAATGGAGCTCGGGCTAATTGATTGTCTCTCCAAAAAGGAAGCCCTATCCAGGGCTGAACAGCTTGCAGATACCTTCAAACAGAGCAGGAGGACTGCACTTTGAAGTTGCCCGGGGGAGGAGGGCCTTCCTGGGCTCTTGCACACATCCCACACAGGCGGCTTCCCTTGATGTGTCTGGCACGGCCAACATAAATGTCCCTACACCTAACACACAGCAACCTTGTGTCCCTGCTCCTGGCAGCTCTGAGCTCCCCACACACAGACACATTGCATCTCCAGTCCCACCAACTCCCCTGGCCATTGCTCCCACACCCTCAGGTGGTTTCCACTCAATATCTGGCTGTTGCAATTCACTCCCCTGTCTCCCAATGACGACTGATTTGGTGGGGATGTCAGGCCTAAAAGAAGAGGCCAACAAGGAGAAGGAGATGTATGGCATGCAGTCATTGAACAGCCAAGGCAGACTGGACTCCAACAGGGAGGATGACAGAGCAACTCTCATCCTGACCCTCACACTCTACAATGTGAGGAAGATTGAGCTCTCTAAGGCAGCCGCAGTCTTTGAGGTACAGACCTCAATATCCCCTTCCTTTGCTGAGCTCTCTTTTCTGTCTCTGCTTCCTCCGTGTCTCCCAGTCTGCATCTCTCCCCCTCTCACTCTTCTCCTGCTCCCTGCCTGACTTGCACCTCCTGCTGCCTTCCCCCTTTCTCGCTGTCCTGGTTTTGCTCCAGCTGCTCAGAGAGGTGGGCAAAGAGGGAGAGTGCTCTGAAGGGAGGGACATCTGGGCACAGTCTTTTAGAAGAATCACCATTTCATGCAAGGGCTGTTTAGAGAGGAGACAGCAATCAGATGCATCTTTCTAGCAGTTGTGGTGGCCGGCATTTCAAGCACTCAGACTGTGGGGATGCTAGAAGCCAGTGAATTTTCTCCACATATTTGGCAGGAGATACAAAGGCTATAAGCGCTGTGAACTACACAGACATTATGGACACTTGAAGTACCCCTACCAGGTGCTCACTCTTATCTGGGAAAATTAATAACTCTAAAGAAAACTATTGTGCTTGTTACTTATTTCTCACAATTAGTTAAGGATTATGGTGCTATCATACATCAATAGGTCTGCTCTCATTCTGGCAGGATTTTAAGTTACTCAGCCACTCATTTGCTATTTCTGCACAGATGATATTCTACAGTCAACAGTATCTCATCTTTCATCTCCTTCTTTCTCTATGCAATGCTATAGTGTTTAATCTTTAGCTCTGTCTGTATTTTAGCTCTTTATAAACCAGACATTACTGGACTTCATTACATAAAATGTACTCCTAGTTAATACCTCTTTTAGTCACCTTTTAAAGACATTGTAGAAATGTATCTAGACTTACCTGGATTTTCAGTGTTTGGAGAAGCTTCATCATATGAACACTTGGCTCTTGCAGACATTTGAAACTCACATCTGTCACTTTGAAACCCGTCGAGCCAAAAAGCCTAAGAACTCTGTGGATGATCTTGACATTTTTGTTGAATGTGAAGTTCACAGTGCTGATGTTGGTATCCTTATCACCTCCTTAAAGAGAGTAGCAAAGGATGTGAAAACCAGCAGAGAAGACAAAGGTAAGAAATGTATGCATCTCTTAGTGAACTTCTTTTGGAGTAACTTTTTTAGTTTTAGCTTCAGCTTCATAATAGTAATTCCATTTGTCTGGAAAGCCAGTGAGTGTGCATTCATTATTTGTCTCTGCATGGCTGCTTTCCACTGCCATTGGTGCAGAAAGACAGGCACTTCATCATTGCCTGTGGAACTGAGGTGAGAAGTGTTCCAGCAAAGAGGGAGATGGGAAGGATAGAACAGCAGAACAAAAAGCTGAAGAGAAACTAGAAACTCCTCAATGACAGGAAGATTTTGTGCCGAAAGCTGTGCAGAGAACTAATTGCTTCAAGACAAACACAGAGGCAAATGGATGTTTTTCCTGTTTGCAGGGAGGAATGGATGAATACAGCTGTTAGAGACCTTTAATACAATCCTGAGGATGACAGATGAGAAGGCTGAGGGTCCAGCTCACAGACTGACTTCTCTGAGCACAGAATTGCCATGGGGTTCCCCTCCCTTGACAAGACCAGACAGATATTCCTAGAGCACTTTTAACTTACACAGTCCTGTTTGGGCGCCTTTGGGTGTTGTTTGAAATTCACTGTCAGGCTAACAATGAGAGGCAGCCCTCGCCAAGCTGTTCTCAGGATCTGTGGGCATATGAAAAGGACATCACTGTTATCAGGGAAACTGGAAAGCCAAAGAGGGTTTTGGAGCTGGAGAAGAATTTCCTTAGGATTTCCTTGGGATTTGAGAAGCCTCAGATGGGCCAGGACTTGGAACTACAGTAAAAACTAGAGATTGTTAAAAGAGGGTGTGTTTATGTTTCTTTCTGAAGGGAACAGGCAAGATGTGTATGGGGACACACTGGGGCAGCTGTGATCAGGGCACAGGTTTTGAGGGGCTATGGCAATAAATAGATGGCAGGAAAGGTACCATGCAGAACCACTGGTACAGCCACAGACAAAAGCTCAGAAAAGAGATCTGGGTACACATAAGGCATCTGTCAGACTGGTATTTCTTCCTACTTATCACAGAATTGGTTGTAATGCATGAAAATTACATAATTTCCCCAACATCTGTGGGTATTTTTAGATTTGTACTTCTCTAAACTTGATGTGCTTGGATCTAATATAATATAGCAAAAGTTAAATTTACCATTCAGTAGAGAGATGTTTGATGTCTTGTCCAGTATGAGATTGACGTGACCCCAATGGACCTTTCTGAGTTGTAACACAGAAAGTCAGATTACAGCATCAATCTGACTTTGGAAAGAAATATCAACTTTGTTTTTTTCCAGAAATTATGTTTAAAAATTAATTTTTCATAAATGCTGGCCTTTAAAATAAAATTATCACATTTTATTTTCATTTTAGTCACTGGAAAAGCTTCCCACTTCATGAGAAGGAAGCTGTTTGGAAATACAGCTAAAGAATAATGTTGCTGGAAAAAATAATGAACCAGAAGCCAAAAACTTGAAGATTATTTTTCTCTTCTTTGCTTTCTAGAAATTTTATAAATATCATGTTTTCCATTTAAAATATTGTCTAACTTTTAAAGGTATGAAAATGTAAGACTGCTGTTTAGACAAGATCAAAATATATTCTTAAATCCAGAATGAAGAAATAAATTTGTCCTGTGTTAAGCAAAAAACAAATTTGATCTAAAAAATATTTTTTGCCTTTAAAAATTGTTTTTACTAATTAAAACTGAGAGATGATCACAGAAAGTTAAATTCACATAATTTTTTATCCAATCTGCCAGTTTGGTCAGGAAGCAATTCAACTACTGAGATGTGTGACTATCATGGTAACACGTAGATATGAATATTCTTATATATTGATGAAAAGAAAGTTTATAATCTTCAGCACAGCTTTTATTTTCTCTCTAAAATTTATTTGATTCTCTCTCATTTAACTCTTTCTGCTTTCTCTCCAGTGCCCTGGTTCCCCAGAAAAATCCAAGATCTGGACAAGTGTCACCATCTGATCACTAAATATGACCCCAATTTGGACCATAGTCACCCTGTAAGTTTAACATTACTGTTATTTCATCTTTAAAACCACAAAAAGGGTTTTACTGTAACAGCTTTATGTGTGCCCTCTTAGCCCTGCTCTAAGCACAAACTAGGAGAGGGAAAGAAAAATGCACTGTCGAGTCCTGCTCTAGGGATGGTAGTAAGGCAAAATACTGGGAACAAACAAACAAACAATTTAACACTTATTTCTCATCAAAGCTTCCCAGCTTTAGTACAGATGAGTCATGAGTTAGGCACAGAGACAAAAGGGACCCCAAAAGGTCATTGACAAGTCAGGTCACAGAAGCATTTTATTCTGTCAAGAATCACATAGAAGCAATGCATGGAAGGGACAAAAAGAAGAGATACTTTGCACTGAGAAATGTAGTGAAGATTAGATGTGTGTCAACAGAATCTACAAGGCATTTTTTGTCATTCTATTTTCTACATGTCTGAATTCTGTTTAGTCCCTTTCATTAACCTACACCAGGCTTTGTTGTGAGCTATATACAGTCCTGTGTAATATAAAATAGACTTTTCCAAGTCTATAAGTGTATCTTTTATTTTTGGGAATCATTTATTCAAGTATAATGCTCTAGGAGAGCTTAATGTCCTACTTAACAAGGACATCTTTCATTCTTCCTTATTTCTTTCTGATACAAACAGTCCAAGTGTTTGTAATTTCCCTGAGCTAACTCTTAGGCTGTTTCTCATTAGATAAATGAGCACACATAGGGAATTCTTTGAACTGGACTAGGTTCCCCTCACCCTTTGCCAAATAGAAGGTGTGAGCACTGAAGAGGTTGAGAGAAAGCGGCAGTGGTGCTGAGTTACTGAAGTATTGAGTGGGGATAAATCTAAATTGCAGAATGTAGTGCAATTTAGAAATACCTAACAAGTTGAAAACAAGTTACCTCAGGCACTGAACATCACTTGTCTGTGGCAGGAGAGGGCACAGTGTAGGGCTGATTTACCAGGCTTCTGAGCAGGGCTCAGAAATTGAGAGGCTGGAGGAAAGCACAAAAGAAGCTGATGTACAGGTAGCTCAGCAAACATTTTGCATATACATTTCCTATCAAATAGACAGTTTGGGTTTTTTCTCTCCACACCTTCAGTTTGTTCTTTACTGACCAAAACAATCAAACTGATGTCACTGTGGCACCAATTTCTGGGCTACCCTGTCACTGGCTGCAGGTTCCCCAGGGGGGCTCCTGCTGCACAGAGAGTGGGCGCAGAGCCCACAGGGACAAAGCTGGGATGTCCCTGCATCTCTGTGAGTCTGGCCCAGCAGCTTTTTGTGGGTTTTGCATGGGCTTGTTACAGCCACTGACAAGCATCTGAATGAACATATTACCCACAATACATGATGAAATAAACATGCTCTCAGGATCCAGCCCTTCCTCAGATTCATGCACACAACACTCATTAACTGCAGGGTTACTGGTATTATTGCTACACTAAAAATTTTGTGAATAAACCTAAGGGACAAATTTGGCTTGCAGTATACAAAGTGGTTCCAGTAAATTCTGAATATTTTAGAATAATAAATATTTGTACAGTGATGCTGATCAATGCTGTTTTATGAGTTATATTAGCACACAGTTCCAGATTTACGTTTTAGTTCCTATTATGAATGATGCAAAATAAAAGGAATGTTATTCCATGTCTGTATGCATATTCAATAGCTGGCAAAGCCTGCTTGAAGTTTTATTTCTAGTAGACACAGAAGGAGCAGAAATAAAATGCTGGTGTTCAGTAGGTAAACATCCCCTTTAAACAGATACCATCTGTCTTTATCACAACATAGCAATAAATGGGCAGTGAGAACTGGGTGGGGACCCTGCACTTCCACAGATCCAGTGGTGGTTCTGATGATTTCTACCTATGCCCACAGAGCTCTCATAATGTAAAATTTTTTCCTGATTATTTTCTAACCCAGGGATACTCTGACCTGGAGTACAACAAGCGGAGGGCGTTCTTTGCTGACCTGGCCTTGAATTACAGAGCGTAAGTACAAGGCTGCTGAAGGGAAAGTGCAACAGTCCACGCTGTCAGACTTGATGTGCAAGAAATGTCACTGATGTCACATTTTGCTCATGTATCAGTGGGGCCACTTTTGAGACTACAAAATTCAGCCACAAAAGCTTTCACTCCATGTGAACTCGACTTTTGTGATGACACAGCAAATACATTTTAAGACAAAAAAATCCGAAGACTGCATTCACATATCCCAGTCCAGTGCTGGATTTTGTTTTAGCAGAAGTGATTGCAATATGGACCTTCATTTCAATTTTCAAGTTCCTTTTAGGACTTGGTGCTGAGCTGAGGTTAATATTTTTTGAGAAAATTTGAGGAGCAATATTTACAAACATACTTTTGACAGTGGAAAGTGATTTACTGCTTTTTTGTTATTTGCTTTTTTAAGTGTCTCTGTCTATGGACACTAACTATCTAAAAACATAAAAAGCTTTCAGTTCTCATGTAAGTGATGGGAAATGTTTCTACCTTTATGTGTAAAACTTCACCAGAACTGTAGGGTAAATCAAAGGTGAAGGTACAACTGGTCATGGTTTATCAGCCTCATGGTATCCAAGAACTGGTAAAGTCTCCAAAGACTTCTGTGAGACTTCTGAATACAGTTTTCTCTTTCCATTAAATATCAGAGTCAGCACAGCTCAGAACAGCCCAAAAGCAGAACTGAACTGACTCAGAGCTACAGAGGAAGCAACAGTGAGGAAGAGGAGAAAAGAGCACCCATCAGTGAATGAGTGCTAACAACACAGAGAGTGCCTGGGCAGCTCTCTGCTCATGGGTTTCTCAAAGCTTCTCTGTGATGGTGCTGAGCTGATCACATCCTCCAGGGAGGGTCCCTCCAGGCACACCCTGTGTTTTGCTCACCTTCAGCAGAGG